AGACTAGTTGGAAAAATATAATCCCGGTGCTTAGAATGGAGATAATACGGATACCACAATCATGACTAATAAAGTAAGCTACACACCGGATAGTGAATACCAGAAGCTTGGTCAGGGCTCCAAGAACGTAACCTCATCAGGATGTTCTTGGGATCCCTTGTCCTCCTGTACTCTTGCCCCGTGCTCCTCAGTACTACTCCTAGGCCTAAGTTTCCAGAATATCACAGGGAGGTCTTGATGGCCGCACCGATGTGGAATACCTTCCGACGGCCTAATATCACCCTACAGTACAGTATAGACCGTGCAGTTAGTGCGGCCTTTGAACAGCAGGACTAGCAGTGTGCATACAATTGCCATCGTGTCGACGAGGTGGCCGAGTGGTTAAGGCGATGGACTGCTAATCCATTGGGCTCTGCCCGCGTGGGTTCGAATCCCATCTTCGTCGTAACATTTAATTTTTTCTCTTTCTTCGCAACCCAATTTTCTTCTGAAGAGTGCCAGAATCTGAGAAATAAAGGATCAACGGTACTTTACGGTATTTGCAATCCTTTATTTTGCCTGATGATTGCATTGGGTAAGAAACGTCGGAGTTGCGACAAACTCCGTAAGCCTCCTTTGTGCCTTTCGTGTGTAATAGACAAGTGCTCCACATTATTGTGACAAGTCACCTGATGATTGCATTGGGCAAGAAACGTCGGAGTTGCGACATACTCGGTAAGCCTCCTTTGTGCCTTTCGTGTGTAATAGACAAGTGCTCCACATTATTGCGTTGAGCCCTTCCCCCCCCCGCTGGCTAAAGGAAACCTCTCTACAGAGAGCTGCACATGGAGTCTTCAAACCATTCCACTCGCTGTGACATGTGCAGGAATGGTGAAATTGCACTACAGTACGCGATGACTCGTGATTTCGATATGTGTTTCGATATGCACTACTCTCTGAAATGGAAGATGGAGAACCGGGGATCTTCGTTGGTGATGCGCTTCGAACTGGCTACGAACTGGCTACCTCGGGATGACAAACACAACTCTACCCACAAGTGCAACATGAAACTGATGGTGGAGAACGACGTTTCAGCCCAGCCAGATTTCAGATGAGCCTACATATCATTATTTTTATAAACTGAATGGCAAACTGGGATGTCATAGGCCATGGAAAAAGACAAATAAACTAAACGGACATGGATGGTAAAAATTAGTAATGATACCAAAATCCGAGCAAGCACAATACAAGACACTGGTACACCTCATCAGTTCACCGTGACCTAACTGAATAGAGAAATGACGTCAGGCTCGGTATACTATGCTGTGGCTGCCACATTGTCACAGGCCCTGGCTGGCACCGCCCGGTTTAGCAAGTCAAGGACGCTAGGTTCGACGTTATGAATGCAAGGCAGCAGGAAGTAGCCAGGAAACTCCGACGCATATTGTGAACTATACGTAACTATGTATCCGCCATTGTCTCACCAAGGAACTGAGAAAGTTGAGAGGGAAGTCTTACAATGCCATCATTCACGTGGGAATCGCACAAAATAGAACTAGAGGCAAGAATCCAACAAATAAATCTACATGCCCTGTTGTAAAGCCAGGCTGAATTTCCAGCTAATTAATTTTCTCCAGCAAATGAGACAGAAGCAAGAACAGTAGCATAACTGAGCCATGCCCAAATGGCTGTCAGTGTGCGGTAGAATGGATCTATTGCAGCGACACTCGACTGGCAATCTGAGCATTTCTGACATGCCGGGATAGACAGAAATAGCAGGCCACAAGGGCATATGACACAAGTAGCGTTCTCAAACTGGTATGGGCCGACCAGTCCTGCAGTAGTTAACCAATCATCCTCAGGTCAAGTGAGTGAAACGAACAAAGTCCGTGACCTCAACAACAAATTAACACGTGCACCGAGTTTTAGCAGCAGAGACAACTCGCAGAAAACGTCATCAACTGCTACCGGATCTAGGCCCTGGGATGCATGATGCCTGCCTGCCCAGTGGCAAAGATTAGGAACTATTAGTGTAGCAGTGCCTATGACCAACAGCAGCCATTGCACTAGCGATGCATGTGGCGCCAAGACAACTAGCCGCGTGAAAACTCAGCAGGGGAAGACAGCTAGAATATATTAGTGCTATGCATCTGGCGGATGGCAGCACATCACAAAGAAAACCATGCTGATTCCAGCCGCACTACCCCATTCTGGTCTATGCACAGCCGTACCACTGCTGGAAAACTAGTTTTCCTGGCCAGACACTGTCACTAAAATAATACCCCCTCCCCCCACCCTTCACAGTTAGTCGCATTGTCCTGGTTCAACATGTCCAACTGCAGAAATCACAGTGGTATCTGTGGTCTGCATTCAAGTCTTTCAGTATACATTAACCCACACACACCCTCGGAAGTCAGAAGACTCGTTCTAGCTGCTTGAACCAGAAGGTCACCATTGCCACCCATCCTGACATGAAGGCCATGCAAAGGTCGAAACCCAGAACTTGTCATAACCCCTTGCTGGTTGAAAATCCACCCTGGCGTGACAACGTCATGTCCACACAAGCCTGTGGATACCACAGATTACAACACATGTCTGGTAGGACACGACACCAAAGCACCGGCCCTAATATATTGTAGCAATGTACCAACTGATGCAAAGAGCAAGAAAAGAGAGGTTCTCTGAGGGAGTCCAACCACTATGTACAAGTACTATAAGAACTGTTCTCTGCATGGGGCACTTTGTATTCGGCAGAATATCAATATTGACATCGAACACTGCACGGGGAACTCCCTTTCAGCAGAATATCAATATTTTCCACTGCAGTTTGCGGATTGTGTAGCCAGACATAAGCAATGCACACCGCCACATAAAGGTATGCATCGTGTAACTGTAACTCCGTGAAGCACTTCCAAGCCAGAAGTTCATCCTGACCCCAAGGCCCAACAGTATCCACCAGCCGTCACACACACACACACCCTGCAGGCAATGCACATGCCTTGAGGCGCCACTCTTCAGCCAGGTATGCACGGAAATACCAACACTGTGAATACTGCACAGTACCCACTGACACGAGTACACCACTGCTTCGGATGCAGGTGACACATGCTGCAGAATTGACCTGTAAACTCCACCAATAATAGACCCTCCGGGCAAAGAAAATCTAGTTTAGAAACAGCTCGCAAAACAAAAGAGAAGGACCGCCGCGATGCGGGAGTGGTGTTGAAACGCCAAACAAGCATCGTCTTCGCTTATACCCCAAGCTGGCCATAGCATGCACTGTCAAGTACACACGTTATACGTGATTTTTTTAGAGTTTTACTTCGAAGTATACCACTTTGGGATACGCACAAGAACACATGTGTGCAGACAAGTGTCATCGATGAAGGAACCCAGCCAGAATGCTACCGTCTGCATGGCAGATAACAGGTAACTATTAATTTTATTATACGGTAAGTTCTCTCACCTCTCTTGTAATCCCCATCCATGAACCATTGCACACTCCCTATGAATGCCAGCAATCCCAGCATGCAGAGCTGACTGTTTACATCCCACTGTGTGCCGGCAACAGCAGCTGCCTGTGAGCAAACGTACACATAGCCATACATACACACATGCATACATACACACATGCATACATACATACATTATCCATATAAAAATCGCTCTGTGAGCGGTTCTGAAAAACCTTTACTGGTACTGCCCCGTCGTAAAAGTAAGAAATTAGAACTGGCCCATTGTCCCCCCAAATGCGAACTGATCCACCTAAATCGCGAATGACGGGACCCGAACGCACCAGTAGCACGAGGTCGGGAGGGCACAGGATCACGGCAATTATCATAGGGTAACACCAGAAGTAGCAGTAGAATTATTTTGATAGGGAAGCCTACCGCTAGTACAGTACATGGCCTATGGTCCGGACCAACGTCCCCATCTGCATCCACAGGTAGGAACCTCGTGCTACTGGTGCGTTCGGGTCCCGTCATTCGCGATTTAGGTGGATCAGTTCGCATTTGGGGGGACAATGGGCCAGTTCTAATTTCTTACTTTTACGACGGGGCAGTACCAGTAAAGGTTTTTCAGAACCGCTCACAGAGCGATTTTTATATGGATAATTTCAGCTCTTTTTCCGTTCCCTCCCCACCCCAACCCCGAAGGTAAACATGTTGACCACGCGCGCGATGTACTGTATGTAGCCATGCGACTGCAATAACACACTGATACATACCAGCCCTCCCCGCCTCGCTACCCCGCACACAGATACACAAACATGTGTATGCACACGGCACACACACGTGGCCACGCACACATACGCACATGCACACGACACAAACAGGAAATTCTTCATGTATAATGCCATGCAAAGCAGTGGCCACCGTACTTGAGGAAGTCAGTTGTGAAACAAAAATAATTCAACTACAGCGTGTAGACAAGCTGACGGCCAAAGCACAACATAGCAAACATGACATTTGCCCAAGGATTGCAGTTTGCAGACCATGCCATGGAAGCAGCGAATACAGAATGTAATATCATACAAAGTGACAAGCAAGGACGTGGCCATCATACACCAGAAACTTGCAGAAAGTCACATATCCAACAGATAGAGAAGTGAACAGCAATCTGATACAGCCCACACAGGACAAAGCGGACCTGATACTCGTCCCAGGATCGCAAGTGCCAAACCCTTTTCAATGCATAACATGCAGGTGTACGTTAGACGCATGAACATCTGACCGTGTCGCCAGCATACAATGTCATCACATGTTTACCCCACAAGTTACACACATGCACAGTAGAAGCACAATGAAAGCAATGGAAAAGTACGATGTGGTTGCTGAAGCATCTTCACACTTCAAATTCAGACTTCAATGTGGTCGTCACGGGATGATATACCTGCAAGATACAAGTGATGAAGAAAGGAAGCAGAAGGTCGTGAGGTAGGCTATGAGACACCACAAATGGTTCACCTACATGTCTGTTCAGGGCTAGTGCACTCACACGGAGAATTGTCATAATCGAGCATTTCCCAAACTGAGAAGTACAATGAAATCCACTTGCATGCACAGGAGCAATTTTGCAATATTATGATGCGCAATTCGACACGATCTGCGATGCTGCGTGCGATGTGCCCTGCTGTCATGATAGTGACAGTCACCGCAGTATGTTTTGTCAACGTCGCCCGTGCACTCTTCTGTCAAGTCCAAAGTGCTCACATACTTGGCACTGTTTTTGCAGTGATTAACTTTTATCCTAGTTATGTCACGGGTAACTTTAATGAAGTACCCGCAGGCCGTGTCGATCTGCACATCGTCCACTCTCTCATGTACTTGGCCTGCTTTGTCTGTGTATCCATTTCATGTGCGATCCACAAAATCGACTAGACAGTGGGTGCAATACGCTCTCTACCTGAAGACGTTCTTCTGGCGACATCTCGCCATGTACTTGGCCTGGCTTTGTCTGTGTATCCATTTCATGTTCGATCAACAAAATCTCAATGCACTACAGAGACTAGACAGTGGGTGCAATACGCTCTCTATCTGAAGACGTGAACCATTAAATTTTTTGGAAAAGTTATACGTACACCTGAAACGTAATGAAGTACAGGAATAGAGAGAGTGACTACAATACGCTCTCGACCTGATATAGTGATAACGTGAGTACAAGACACTCTCCACCTGATAACGTGTTAGAAGGTAACATGTCTACAGTCCCACCGTACCCTTCCGACACGACTGTAGACCATGACATTTTTTTGAGAAGTTATACATACACCTAAAAACGTAATGAAGTGCAGGAATAGAGAGAGTGACTACACTGATGATACGCTCTCGACCTGATAACGTGAGTACAAGACACTCTCCACCTGATAACGTGTTAGTAGAAGGTAACAGGTCTACAGTCCCACCGTACCCTTCATCATTCCTCATTCACCATCGCGCGATACCCTGGCACACACTGGCAACATATCAATGGGTGCCTTACCGTCGTCTAGAGGAGACGTCTTCGCAGCAATATTTCCCCTCCTGCGCATTCAGTCGCCGACGCGACAGCGTTCACGGGGCCGTTCCAGTTGCGGAAGACATTCGATTCATCGGGCCAATTCAGCAACAGGGCCGTGGACACACAGGGGGCAGAGGAGAGACATTGTTAGTGGACAAGAAATATGCAGTGGCAAGTGGCGAGTGCCGCATGGATGTCAAGTTGTCATGCACAAATCAGCTATTACTTACGGTCCAGCTAGTCCTGCCATTGCTCGCTCGTCCTGGTTCCTCCTCGTTCGTCTTCCTGCACGTCTGCACTTCTCCTTCCCCACCGTTGGCTTTGCGGTACGGGGGTGCCGGAAGGAATTCCCACCATGTATCCATGTACATGAAGTCCCACCATGACTCTCCAAGTGCATGTCCACGGCCACGTCAGCAGTTTGTATAGTACCGGAAGGAGTTCCCACGATGTCTCCAAAGGCCTAGAGCGGACGTCTTTGCAGCAATTCTTTTCGCCCTGCGCATTCAGTTCGCCGACGATGTCTCCAAAGGCAAAGGCCTACAACTGTAGAGCCTAGTAGAGGGGACGTCTTTGCAGCAATTCTTTTCACCCTAGTACCCTGCACATTCACTCCGCCGACACGACAGCGTTTACGGGGCCGTTCCAGGTGCAAAAGGTCCACGTCAGCAGTTCTCAACTATTTCGCGTACGGGATAGTCGCCGCGACAGCGTTTAAGGGGTCGTTCCAGGTGCAAAAGGTATCCATCAATGGCACTTTGCAGTATGGGGTACGGAAAAGGGGCTTCCTCGTTCGACTTCGTCGACTTCTGCAGTTCTCCTTCCCGTCAGGACTCAGGGGTACCGAAAGGGGCCTCCTCGCAGTTGTCCTTGCCGTCAGGTCCACGTCATGCTCAACTATTTCGCATACGGGATAGTCGTCTTTGTCGTACGCGACATCGGCGTTTACCGAGTGGCATTGGCACAAAGCTGCAAAGCAGACCGTTGACGGGGTCACGTGTCAAAAAAGTATCAACAAAGTGTCAACTACGTGTCGACCACGTGTATAGCGGTACACTCAGCGGTACACTAATTCTCGTGCCATTCTCGTGTCACAAAACTGGAACATCGAGTACCAGTATGGAAAGGCTTCAGACAGGAAGCCTTTCCAATACACACATGCATACAGCCATACATACACACATGCACATGCACACGTACACAAACACACAAGTACGTCCCGAGTGCGTACAGGCTGCCCAGTTGCCAGCACCATTCTCATGGCCGACGTGGTGTCTTGTAATCGAGATGGAAACAAGGCCATAGAACTGGAAGCAAGAAATAAAATACAGGAGGTTCTTCGAGAGAAGAGAGAGAAAGAGAAAAGCAGAAATAGAGGTTGTTGTAACAATATAAAATACACATTTTCAGCAGCAAAAACCCAATCAACTGCTGAAGACATGCTTAGAGAATAGCTGTGCAGCCCCACCTCAAGTCATCCAAACTGAGGCTGGAAAAGGAAATGAAGGCCAATAGGCTACATTCACCATTGACAGTAAAAGGAAGCAGTGTGGAGCACCACTGCACCAGAGGGTTCAAGATCACTGGGCACAGGTACACTGGTGCATACGCTGATTGCCCATGCAGACCAGCACCATGTGACCCGCCACCGGCAGTGCAAGGGCGGAAATCAAGCAATGGCTGTATGCAGTGCACGAGCATGAACCATGATGCGCACACTGTACACAACAGCACATGTTGCCAGAGCCTGACAGCGCAGAACATGCTGCAAGCAGAACGACACTGACCGAGCATGCACACACAGTAAACCCTAGCACAAGACGAGGGACAAGTGACATAGCTCAAGGGACATTCCAGCCGACACAGCACTGAGCCACTACTAGCAGTACCTGTTATCAGACGAGCAGTGATTCATTGGACGCGTCATGACTCTACCCACGAGCGGCCAGTGATTTCACGGCCATTTGAAGAGCACCGTCGTATGACACGTTGCCACCGATGAAGAGATTAGCATGTACAAAGATGCAGCCAGGTATTCCCGACACCTTGCAAAGCTCATCATCACGCAGCGCAGACCAGTCACGATGGAGAGGAAGTCTGAGGAAAAAAGAATTAAAAAAATACCGGGAAAAACCCTTTGATACAAAAAACCGACCGCTGGAGTAGTTGCAAGCACGCAAACTTTCCCAACTCGTTAAAACATAAATGGAATTTCATAATTGAAATGCCCCCCGAAAGAGGCCCAATACCTCAGCTTTCCGATTTCTGAAGAGCTACAATGTAAGGCCATCATTTTTTATAGCTATGTTTCGCGTCGTCCGCACGCATACGTTTTGATTTTTTTCGGAAAAAAATAAAAAATCGAACATGCACAGTGAGTGTACGATCGTGCGAGTCATCAGTGTGGACAGGTTGCATACGGCGAAGCTGGGATTCAGAAATGGCCTCTAGCCTAGGCCAGCGTTGGTAAATTGTTTGTTCGGCATCTGGGAGCAATATTCTAACTTATGAGCTTACACCAGACCGCATTGATCGCCTAAGCTGAGAGGATGCGTCGTTCCGGAGCTCTTTGCACCGCTGCTGAAGTCTGAGTACAATATTCGAGCGAAGCATAGGCACCAACGGTTGCCTCCTCTGTCCAAAGTGAATATTTACTCATGCTGATAACCCAGATGTTGTGCTTCGATGTACGATTTTTCTTTCGAATGTACACCATGCGCGAGCTATTGTGCTATGTACAGTGCATACACCTCTGATGAGCCTTTTTTATTATTTTGCAACTTTTTTATTTTTTTCCACCTCTCGCATATGATTCTGGAAGTTGAACTGACGCGAAACATAGATATAAAAAATGATGGCCTAACGTCAAGAGTCCATAACCCCCAGAGTGTGCAACGCCACATAAATGTCTGTCACGACTCGTTTTCAACATTACGTCATTTTCATGTAGCTGCGTGTGCAGGCCGCGACATTCGCTACATGAAAATGTACATGAAAATGACGTAATGTTGAAAACGAGTCGTGACAAGACCCTATCGCGCGTTGCACACTCTGGGGGTTATGGACTCTTGGTAACGTGACAGCCATAATTATCACTCTCACTATTTCAATCACTACAAGAGTCGAACTTCTTCTCAGTGACTGGCAATGAGAGAGAGGGATTTAACCTCTCCTGGCATGCTTATTCATCCACACACAGTTCGTGCGTGTAGACAGCATAACACTAAAACCAGCGCAAAAGGGGAGGGGAAGGGGGGCATTCTGCGATAAAGGAGAGGGAGAGGAGTAAAATCTCAAGGTTACAGAAAAAGATACCCCAGTGTTGATTCCTCCTCAGCCGAATATGTGCATGTCCTCCCAGGGAGCTAGGGAATGCACCCCAAGCAATCCCTAGAAATTATAAATACAGCGAGGCCCACTTATCCAAGCACATTGGAGCCAGGCCACTGCTGGGTAAGTCAAACAGAACGCTTTGCAGATATGCGCGATGGGGCGTGGTCGACTACTTTTAATTGAAGTCTTCAATTTGAAACTGGCGTTCACTGAACAACGGCATGCAATCAACAGCGCCAAAACGTTTTCAGGGAACCGATACGGTCAGAAGCCCGATGACTGCATATGAGATTGCTGGCTGTTGACGGTGACTTTGATAACACAATCAACATGACATGTACAGTGCTGTCGGCCCGGTGAATCCGATCAAGTGAGTCAAGTACAGTAGTGCTGGCCAAAGAAATCCAACCTCATGAATAAAATAGCGTTGCCGGGCGCTACGCAGTCCTAGCACTACACACACTGGTCTGTGCACTCAAACGCGACGCTACTTTATTCACGAGGTTGGATTTCTTTGGCCAGCACTATACATGCCGGGTACTGTGCAGCCCTAGACCTGTGTACAATGAGCTGCGAAATGGTCATGACTCAAGCGATTGGATCTCACCGAGTAGCACAGTAGCAACAGAAAACAGCATCAAGTAACATAGTGCTTACCTGTTCTCGAAAGAGTCGGCGTGTACCGACACAGTCTAAACACAGTGGATTAAAAACAAACCACACAAAAAATCTGAGATACAGAGCAGATACATTCAAACCCACCAGAATAAAAGGATGCCAGTTTGACACACAGTGAGGTTAGGTATCACTGTATGCAATCATACTGCAACCAATGAATGCCACTCCTGCCACCATCTGTTGGAAGCACTCCGCACCAAGCACAAGAGCGCGTTTACCTGTGGCCACTTGGGCAAGCCCGGCAAAGAGCAGCAGACTGACCGCTCTAAAAACTATTTTCCAGTGGTTGTAGAGCTTTCACGCAATACCATTATCCAGCTCTAGGAGTTGAACAACTACACACTCACTGACACAGTTCACATACTGTATAAGGACAAATTTTCGTTCACGAAAACTTTCGTTAGATCACTCCACCAGCAGGTTCGCTACGTACTAAATTTCGTTTCGGTCGAGGTCTGTCACCCCGAACGTTCAGAAAAAAAACTGTAGTTTGGTACAAACTTTAGTTATTTCGTGCCCCCTAACGAATATAGCGAAAGTTAATTCCAAACGAAACTTTGTACTTATACAGTAGCCAACTGCACTGCCACCAGGAACTGTAACACGGCATCCAGCAGTAACGTCCATGGATGACCACATGTGCACCGCTGAATCCATTCATGAGAGCAACTCATCCGGTTTTCAGTCCGGCTGCTGTAAGCCGCACACACACACACACACACACACACACAGCTATTCTGAGCAGCAGAGATCAGTCACACTGAAAACTCACCTGTACTCTCCACTGCCCCTTGGGATCACAGTACAGGGCAAACTTGACGGTGCGCTCCAGGCACAGCTCCTTCTCAATCTCGTACAGATGCTGCTTCCACGGACAGAAGCGCTCAATGCAGATTATCTCGCCACTCTCGTGCACCTGCGTGGTGAGAAAGGAGAATAGAAAGCATGTCAGCTGTACGTGACCATTACTGAAGCAAAGACAACCATTCCTTGAGAGACAGCATCACTGAAGCAAAGACAACCATTCCTTGAGAGACACCATTACTGAAGCAAAGACAACCATTCCTTGAGAGACAGCATCACTGAAGCAAAGACAACCATTCCTTGAGAGACAGCATTACTGAAGCAAAGACAACCATTTCTTCAGAGACAGCAGCAGCAGCAGTAGAGTCGCCTGGAATATTAGACGTTGCAGCAGCAGCATTGGAATTTGTTTATTACCTTGGTTCGATTCTGCACGGCTTGCATGACAATATCACGTGCCGGCAACCACTGGGAATAGAAGTAGTTGACACGGCTTGTGAACTCTGTTCCAACGAGTTCATACGCCTTGAAGAAACAAGCCTGTGAGTGCAGAGTATGCAGAAAGACACGAGCATATGTCAATATATAGGAAGAAAAACCGGGAAAGGCATAATGAAGGCACCTCAACACGATGAGTCAATCATGAAATGTGGTGATCTGGTCTATGCCCATAGAACCCATAAAACAAAGGAGTAAGGCCATGGACAGGTAGAAACCTCTCCAGCACAATCATCTGTGGCCAGTAGGAGACTGTTGTGTGCAAGGCAATACATGCATGTTATTTGCATACTGCATGGAGCTGGTACATGAAACAGTTATACAGAGCCGATGTGAAGATTTCAAAAGTTAGACCGAGTTCTCCGCATCCATAGGAACGCCACCAGCCTCGAGGATCAAGGCGCAGATACAGCTCCTAAAGTGATGGAAGGTGAGTACTAGTAGATCAGACCCGCACTAAAGTGGTCTCAAAGCTCACTTGAAAATTAAAGCTCTTTACAGGAATCAAACTTCACTGATGACAAGAATGCTGCTTTTCGGCAGAGGTGGGCATTGACAAAGTACTGCAGTAAAGTACTAGTACCTCCACTCCCTCCCCCGTAAAGCAACCTTCAACGGATTGCACCAGAAAACAACCAATCTACAGCATACAACACTTGGACTGAGCTCCTGGAATGGGCAAGGGGTCACATCGTACTAACCGTCTCATCTTGGCTGGGCTCATTCCAGCTAGGGTTGAGATAACCAACTCTACTCCCCAGATTGGTGCTGACGTGAAACCTGGCACAAATAGCAAAGAAGTTACAAAAAAGGCCCAAAGTAAACAGAAAACGTGAATCAGAACACGTTCACATGTTCGTCCAACAGTGTTGAGGGTCTGAGCCAGCATTGCATGAAATAGAGTGCTCATTGCCAGTGAAAACTCACTCAATTTTTGCTTTGGGAGTTTTTTTAAATTTTAGACGTAGTGTGAGCACGACCATCATGTTTCTGCGTCAAGCTGTCTCAAGGATGCAGGCCTCTGGACGCAGTGTGAGCGTGCCCTTACATTCAAATGGGAGAGTTGTGGGCGAACAGACCCAGTGAGTAGGAAGGTTTGACTGTTTAGAAGGTGAATTAAGATAAAGATGCACCGCCGTCACCACCACCACAACCACCACCACAACTACCACTACCACCAATAACAACACACCCAGAGCAGCACGCAGTACTCCTGGTCAAACAAACTTACTTGGGAATACCATCCACAGCATTGATGCCGTTATCACAGGCATCCACTTCCTCCATGAAGTTCTCGTAGACCTTCAGGAACATGACGGGCAGGGCCGGGTTATCTTCGGGTACATTCAGCACTTGCGCAAGAACTCGCCGTCCAAAATGGAAGTAAATCAATCCGGCACTGCTGAGCTTCGTTACAAACCGGAAATCAGAGCAAAGGCTGTTCATGGAATAGTTGAAAGATCTGTGGTGAAAAGCAGCAACATACGCAAAGCAAGCGATGTCCAGGGTACAGTGTTAGTATGACGAAAATAATGAGACAGCAGCCATACCATAATTATGATATTTCTGGAGTAACGAGCTGCACAGAAGATCACGCCGCCCGGTAATAAGCTCCAGGTTGATGAGAGGCGTATCAGAATTCAAATTTTCAATCCCTGCCCCACACTGACTGCTGTGTGGCCAGCAGACATGCACCTCATCGTCGGTGTCATAATCAACTATTTTCTATATACTAGTACACTGTACAGTGCACCAGGTGCTGCCAGTTACTGTAAAACACGTAATTTTAGGTGTGGACTCGGATGGAGAGTCAAGGATAAATTTATAGAAAAAGAAAAAGGACCAAGGAACTACAAGTTACGCAAGTTAGTTCTATAAATTTTAGGTGTGGAAAACTTTACACACACCATCTTCAATCCAAGTGGTCTCTTCGCTGCAAATTACAATAATCCTCAATCAAATTTTCTGATGTTGGCTCCTGGCCGAAAATTTGATTGAGAATTATTTTTTAATTTGCAGCGAAGAGACCACTTGGATTGAAGATGGTGTGCGTAACGTTTTCCATTTAATGAAGTGGCTGCAGTGCAGCTTGCACAAATTAAGAATATTTAGGTGTATTAAAATTTCGGTGCCAGATACCTGACAAGTTGCAGGTGTAATGTAGAATTAGGTGATCAGCTTTCCCTCCACATACAGCGCATCCTCTAGTGCCTTCTAGGTGTAATTTAAATCTAGGTTCCTGGTTTCTCTACCGAAATCACCGTAATTAGTTTAAAAAGGAATAAGTGAGAGCGAATGCAGGTTACAAAATCAAGTGCTTGGCCAAGGAACAGTAAGCAAGCACACTGCGTGCGCATCAGGGTGTGCGCAAACTGTGCACTCGGCAAAACACCGAATGCCTGGCTGTTCCGTCCAAGTCGAGAAGGTACACTGTTAGGCTATACAATATGCAGACGAGCAGACAGCATTGCCCCCCTATTTAGTATTTACCTTTGATGGTGGTCATAGCGTTGCATGCTGGGGTCATAGACACCACCAACATCAACAACAATGTCACATGTATCTAGCACCGTTTGATCACGTGATCGAACAATCTCAGCGTTGGCGTACTCCGGCAACTGACGCAGCATAAAGCAGGCGAGAACCTACGGGACACATCCACAAACAAAGATACCAAATACATGTATACGTAACCTATGCCCCAGGAGTCATCTACGGTACTGTTCTCATTCCCAAGACCATAAGGGCCGTCCAAGGTTACCAATAGTATTTTCAAAACGAAAAGTTTTCGTTTGGGGGTGGGTGGGTTTGAAGGAGTTTCGTTTTGAAAATAATTATTGAATGCAGATGGAGAATGCCCAGTTACTTCTGGGTGTCGAAAATTGACATCAGTATTTTATTGGAATTCGTTTTACCTCCAGAAAAGGTGGGTGGGTGGGTGGGTGCTGGAAAATACTAAAACTTTTCGTTTTGCAAAAACTATTGGTAACCCCTAACTTGCCAACGCCTCCGAAAAATACTATTTTCACCGGCTGAGATCTGGATCACATTACGTATACATGCGTTCAGAGAATGCTGTTCACATTGGCAAGGGTTGGGAGCTAACTGTCACTTGCCAGGATGTTATGTGCAGTGACGTTAGAAGTCGCCTTAGTATGCTCAGCATTGAAAATGTACCCTATCATAGTGTACATGGTTGGTGCATGAACGGGTATGTTGATCTTCCAGTATAGTACAGTGGTCCCTCTATAATCCGGCACCATTTGTGCCACGGAAATCTGCTGGATTAGGGAGGGTGCTGGATTAACAAATCTGATCTACTGCTGCAATGTGCATGAAGAGGACATTTGGCTACTGAAAATTGTGCTGGTTTATAGAGGGTGCTGGATTATAAAGTGCCGGATTAGAGAGGGACGACTGTACTACATTGTAGCCTGATCTACACGACGAGCGTGTTTATGTTCATTACGTTCTCTATCATTGCCACACAACTACTCATACTACATGTTACTCTCCCGAACGGTTATGGGAGCAGATTTTCATTCAAATTTGGTGGGAAAAAAAGACCAGGAGAAAAAAATTTGATAGCAATGAAAGAGAGGCTTGAGAGGACAGGAACATACACTCACCTCGTCGCAGTGAAACTTTCCATTGTGTGTTCCTATCTTCACGGCCATCGTGCGCTTTGCGACTGGCTCTGTCGACATTAGACTCGATAACTTCAAAGCTCGATTTCTTGAAAGTCTCCGCGTTATTGAAAACATTCTTTGCAACTGAAAATTTAATTGTCACGTGCAAGTAAGTGGTGCGTGTGTCTGCAATCGCGTGCATGATCATGCCATGATGCAGGATCCACTGCAAGTGCAAGGGCATGCACTCTTTTTACAGGGAGTAGTAACATACGTACTCCCATGATGATGGGAGTATTATTACTATTTATTAGCAAGAGTCCACAAACCCGGTTATGGACTCTTGTTATTAGTAGACCAAGAGGGTTCGAAACCAGGCAGGTTTCGATCAAGAACTCAGACCGAGCAACAGCATTCCCTTCACATACACACCCTGGTGCCTTTTTTCAACGGAACAATCACGGTCCCAAAGTATTCATTAGTTCGGGGGAAAGGTGCATACTAGTACCAAGAGTTCATAACCCCCTGGGGGTTATGAACTCTTGCTAGTACCCGGTAGCCAGGCTTGGCTGAGATCAGGGAGTCGTAAATACGGTATTTTACGACTCCCTGGCTGAAATCATTCCTAAACAGGCTCAGCAGCAGGGAGTCGTAGAATGCCGGTATTTAACGACTCCCTGCTCAGGTTAGTTGAGCTCACTATTAGGGAGGTTTAGTCCCACGTAATCCGTGGGTACTTTACGTGGGTGTACCACGTGATACTCAGTGACCCACGTACAGACGTTTTCTGATTCACGACATAACGTGTATGGAGGCTCACCCACGTTCCGCCAGAACGTGGGTGAAAATCAGAATGGAGCGCATTGTGCGAGCTGTGAGGGTGCTCAGCTGAAGAAGTTTCCGAAGCACGAAATCAAAATATTGGATGAGCTTCTTAGGCCGGAGTAGCTTCGTCTTTGACCAGGTTTTGGCCTTTAGCTTCATGCTTTTGTTTGTTCCGTGTGACTAAACACAACATTGCAACGTGGGTGCCCTTCATCCACTTTACGTGGATCACCCACGTACGCGTTTCCGTTACGTGGGAACTAAACCTCCCTATTACCAAGAACTTGAACCGCAGAAGGCTTGGGGGCAGGCCGACTGCTATACAAGCATTCAAAACACACAGCACATCGCACTTCACAACATCTATACATTGCTTGCCACAATGTCCGACAGGAACACAGACCCAAAGTCATCATCTTGAATTTGAAATAAAATTAAAATAAACCCAAGATCTCAATATGCTTAGCGCAGCCTATCGCAGCACCATTCATGAAAATCCATGAAAAAATGGGTCTTGGACAAAACGGATAATCCGAACCTACAAGTACTAAAAATCTCAAGAACAAAACACCTGTATTATGTATTTCATGAGGCAGATTTCATGGAACGTGAATATACAGTCAAAGGCGACAATGATTAGGTGTTCACATAGCTAACTGCCGCTAGCAAGTTGAGTTGCAGACTTTCTGACGTTGCCATCATAATGTTGACCGAGCAAAGACAACTCCCATAGTGATGTGCAATTGGCATGGCTAAATTCTGGGTCAGAAACTTCAGGTTGGAAGACACCGGATGTGACGATATCAGAATCCAACAGACCACCAACACAGCTATACAGGCGCATGAAGGCACGCACCTCGTCCAACAGGGCAACAGAAGCAACTGGGGCATCCTGATGAAGGCTGACAGTGGCCAGACGCTTTACAAAGCCTAGGACACGCTGCACGGACACCTGGCGTCGCTTGCGTAACATCATCTCTAGGCATTCCGTGGCGAGCGGCACTTCCACCTGGCCGTCTGTGGAGCACAGCTCCACAAGACACTGGTACAGGTGACAATAAAATTGACGTGGATCAATGGTCAAAGCTTCTCCCTGGCCACTCAGAACTTTGAATGCCGTCTGCACACAGTGCAAGCGCTGGCGGGTGGTAAGGCTTGGCATAGCCAATATGCTGTCCAGGGCTTTGAATAAATCAACAAAAAAATCCACACTGATCAGATGGGCATACTTGGCCAAGCCCTCTAACACAAATGGCAACAGATGCTGGTGAGGAGCACGTTTCAAGATGCGGAAGAACACACTGAAAAGAAGCTTCAACATCTCTGTCTGCAGCCTCACACGCTTGTCGCGGCTTTCCGTTGCTTGCGCCTCCAACATTTCCCGGTCGAGCTTCTTCGCTGCCTTCAGGTTTTTCTTCTCTTTACGAGATAGACGAGACCTGGCTTCTTTTTCACGCTGCTTGTCTTCATTTCTTGCAGTGATGGCTGCTGCACTACCTTCTGCCAAGTCGCCAACTCGGAAGCACAACAAGACTTCAACAAAGTTCGTCCCAAGGCGACCATCCCGTCGGGTCTTGGCAATCTGGTTGATGGTTTTGACTGCCTCAACTGTGATCTCAGATGCACCCCGCTGCTTGAACATGTCTTTGAGCATACCTACGCACACTTCCGCCAGTTCACCATTACACTGCTTGCTATCCAACCGGGGAACAATAGCATGTACCAGTTGCTTGCTGCAGTTGAAGTGGTGCAAGTTTGACAACAGTGTGCACATACACTTGGTGGCAGTCACCGCTAGCAGCTCCAGACCTGCCTCGTTGATTTCCTGTCCGTCTGAAAGCATCTTCAATGATGAGTAGCTTGCATTCTTAGGCCCTACCACAGCTTGAACATACCGCTCCAGCAAGCCAACGTAGTGAGTATAGTTGGAGACCAGGCCTTGTTCAAAGTCTCTCAGCTCTCTGGTGTCCTTAGCAACTTTCACAGATTTCTCCTCAGCAGTAAGCTCACGAATGTAATAACCAGGAGCAATGTCTTTGAAGACATTCGCTGCAGATATAAGGGCAAACCTCCTTACATTAACTGCACACCGATGGTCTGTCTCTGAGCACAGATTTCTCAAGAACTTGAGTTTACTATAGTGCTCTGAGGGATTCTGGACAATGGAGCAGCAAATACTGGCAATTTCTGCTTTCTTCGCAGCCAAAGTCTTTTGTCCCCTGGCCACACGTTGAATATAGGTCTCTGACGGAGTAGATTCAGAGACTGTTGGGACAATCGTGGACTCGCCATCCTCTGACAGAGTCTCCTCTTCTTCCTCCTCCTCCTCGTCTTCTTGACTGACAGCGGCTGTACGATATTCCCAGCCCGAAGCACTTTTCACAGGAAGAAGAGGCTTACTTCGTTTCATGGTGTTGAACTGCAAACACTTCTTTCTAAACCTGGCAAGATCAAGCAATGAAATGAACTACATTTCCCATTCCTAAAAAATACATTTCTCATTTTACTGCTGACAAAATTAATACAAAAATGGAAATGATCTCAAAAATCTCAAAAAATGAGTCCTGCATGCAGCCGTGCAGGCCTGGTGCGACGCCATTTTGGAGACGATGGGTGAGTCGTGAAAATACGACTTCCGGGATGTCGGGCATGATGACGTAGCCTGTGTGTTAGCTCAGCTAGCTCAGTCCACACACTCATCGTGCACATGGTCCATGATTCCAGGACAGCGCGCTGGCGGCGAAGCTTCCTTCGCGACTGCTCGTATCGACTACGGGTCACGAGCTCGCACTCGTACCTACCTAGCTAGGTATACCGGTAATGCGGTATGCATGACCAAGCACGCTAGGTAGCATGCAGCATGCGATGTTGCACCGCAACACGTGCAACAATACTTGGTACGTACACATAAAGACAAACACTTGAAAATGAACAGTTCAGAAAATACTAGACTTGCAGTGGAAGCACTTCCTTTGTCTTTCGTTCATTTGTGCCATACTGGTGACTGCTTTTGCATTTCTGGTTGAATGCAATTTACTGCATATGACTGATATTGCATTTCTGGCTGAAAGCAATTTACTACATGTAGTGGATTTTATTTTTTGTACCCCATGTAATAATACATGTACCACTGCTTTGAGCTGAGTTAATTCCAGAGATTTTACTTTTGTTTCTTGGTGTCTTCCGTCATGGGGGACAAAATTGACACACCCAATTATCAACGACAGTCTACTGTTGTCCGTGCTACGAACGTCAAGTTTCAGAGCAGCTTCGTAACAAGAGACAAGCGCGGTCAAGTGCTGGGAAGTGAATTTCGTGGATGCACAGTATGGTTTACGGGCCTGTCTGGAGCTGGAAAGACCACTGTGAGTTTCGGCCTGGAGTCCTACCTGGCATCACGTGGAATATACTGCTATACGTTAGATGGAGACAATGTGCGGCATGGCTTGAACAAAGACCTTGGCTTCACGCCAGAGGATAGAACAGAAAACATCCGTCGCATCGGCGAGGTAGCGCGCCTGTTTGCTGATGCAGGACTGGTATGCCTGAGCAGCTTCATCAGTCCGTTCCGTGAGGACCGCGCACAGGCTCGGCGCATTCACGAAGAGAATGGTCTGCCGTTCGTTGAGGTGTTTGTGGATACGCCACTGGAAACATGCGAGGAACGAGACACGAAAGGCCTGTACAAGAAGGCGCGCCAAGGTCTCATCAGAGGTTTCACTGGGATTGACTCTGCGTACGAACCACCCGAGAAGCCGGACATTGTCTTGAAAACGGCAGAGTGCACGAAAGAGGAATGCCTTGCGCAGGTGATTGATCACCTGCGAGAGCGTGGCATTCTGCCCTACTCTGTGGTCAAGACCGTGCGGGAACTGTTCATACCCGAGACGCAGCGTGAGTCTGCGCTGGCCGAGGCCAGAACACTGGAGCGTGTCCAATTGACAAAGCTCGACCTGCAGTGGGTGCAGGTGCTGAGCGAAGGCTGGGCGTCTCCGCTGGGAGGATTCATGCGAGAGAAAGACTACCTGCAATGCTTGCATCACGCTATGAACACGCAAGAAGGCAGCGTGAATCAGTCCGTTCCAATCGTTCTGCCCATCTCTGACCAGGATCGGGCGCGGATTGCCAAGAAGTCTGCCGTTCTTCTGACCTACGGAGATGACCAAAAACCAATCGCAATTGTGCGCAATCCGGAGATCTATGCCCATCGTCAAGAGGAGAGGATGTGTCGCCAGTGGGGTGCAGTGTGTACCAGTCACCCCTATGTCAAGATGATGTTTGAAGCTGGCAATTGGCTGCTGGGCGGTGACCTGGACGTGTTTGATCGCATTCGCTGGAACGATGGGCTGGATGAGTACCGTCGCACCCCCAACGAGCTGCGCGCAGAGTTCTCCGCTCGTGAGGCCGATGCTGTTTTTGCGTTTCAGCTGAGGAACCCCATCCACAACGGTCACGCTTTGCTGATGGAGGAGACCAAGAGCCGGCTGATCAAGCGCGGATATAAGAAGCCTGTGCTGCTGCTGCATCCGCTGGGCGGCTGGACAAAGGCGGACGATGTCCCGCTGCCCGTCCGCATTGAGCAGCACAAGGCTATTCTGCGCGAGGGCGTGCTCAGCCCGGACTCGACCGTCCTGGCCATCTTCCCCTCGCCCATGATGTACGCCGGGCCCACCGAAGTGCAGTGGCACGCAAAGGCCCGGATAGCATGCGGTGCCCAGTTCTACATTGTCGGCCGTGATCCGGCCGGTATGCCGCACCCAGACACTGGCAAGGACCTGTACGATGCAGCGCATGGACGGGAGGTGCTGAAAATGGCGCCGGGCCTGCCACAACTGGAAATTGTGCCGTTCAAGGTCGCCGCGTACGACACCGAGAAGAAGAAGATGGACTTCTACGACCCTGCTCAACCGGACAAGTTTGAGTTTATTTCTGGTACCAAGATGCGGCGCCTGGCTCGCGATGGGGAGGAACCGCCGGCCGGTTTCATGGCACCAGAGGCATGGAAGGTCCTCAAGCACTTCTACCAAGGCTCGAGCGCTCAGAAGTCTTGATGCGTCTCCTAACCAATCGCCTGCTGGCCAATCCAAGTGTTGTACTAATGCAATATGGTGGTTGGCTGTCAGTGTAAGTAGAGCTTTGCTATTGCTCCTAGTTTATTGTGGCCTTTTTGTTCCATTTTTGGGTATTTTTACACTTTTCTTCAATATCCTCACTCAGCTATATTTTTCAATGGTTCAATTCGTGTATTTTACCTTTTTTTTAGAAAGTTATAGAAGGAGTAGGGGATATGTTCTATCTCGGGAATTAATAGTGTTCTCTCCTTGTGCCGCCTGGTTATTGCCACCCTCGCTAGAGTTGGGTTCCACGTCTGTGTCTCCGTGCGCAGATGTGTGCAGTGTGTGTGTGTGTGTGTGTTGGTGAGTGTGAGTGCACACGTACGCACCTACCTTGTAAGCTGATGTGCTAATACAAGTAGAAGCTGAGAGACTCGTGTTCATTTTTATCACTAGCGCTTTAGTTCCTAGCCTTTATAGGTATTGACCAGGAGCATTCTGCTTTAGCCATTCTTTAAATTATAACGACCGTATATTCAGTTTTATAACGGTATCTGTTTTTTCTTCTTTTTACCTGAATTTGGGTGCTTTGCTTTAGTAATTTGGCCTCACGATTACGCTGAGTAACATCAGTATGATCTCGGTCATGTTAGCAGCCTGCACAATGACAACAATACTGGTCATCACCATCTACTGGCATGATGTGGGATGTACATGACTGTGTGTTACCCTGCATATCAGTGCTGTATAGTGTATACAGACTTTCCGTGTGTGCATGCAGCGCAAGTGTGCATGTGTGTGTGTGAAACCCAGTAAGGCTGGTTTCAGTTATCATGGTTACCACACATGGGACCAAGAGTACATGAGGCCGAGTGTGTAAAGCCCGAACCAGTTGCTGTCACCGCGAAATCTCTGGATTACATTAATTTTATGTTGATGTAGTATAACGTGCACGTGCAAGCAGGATTCAAGCATATCTGCTGCACAACTGCAGTTCAGTTGTACGCACTAAGCCATTTCCCGCTGCTTATGGGTCGTCGCAAACATTTTTTCGTCGTCCCTGAAACGAACATGTTCATTTCATACTTGGACCCATCCACAGCCCCGGCCGGCCCAAGCAATCAGTCCGAAAGCCACCAAGCTGTGCACTCAAGCGAGCCTGCACAGGATGTGCAAGCATGGCTGGCAGATTTGTGGAAGTCCAGGATCAGAACACTGCATTGGGTGCTGTGAGCCAATGCTGCTCATCATCAAAATAATCAGTCTGACATGACTCTAGCGCCTCTAGAATAATGTAGACACTGAACAAAAAAAATGGAGTGTCAATGCCTTCTACAACTTCAATTGTCGTGGAGATGAAACTGAGAAGCAATGAAAAATAGATACGGTAATATACCGCCAACGTCCATCCGTTTGAGCACTGCAAATCAATCAACTTTCGGAAGCAGATGATTCTAACCAAGAGTTCATAACCCCTGGGGGTTATGAACTCTTGTTCTAACCAATAGCATTTCTGGCTATTTCAGCGGTGTGCATGCACTGTCCGGCGGCGGTGGGAAGTGAGAGCTGAGTGAGAGCTGAGTGAGGTGTGACGACACGGGACAACAGCTTGTTGGTTTTAAAATAGCAAAATCTCACTCAATAAAATTTAATAGTCTTCAAAATGTGTGAATAATATGTACGGCATTATTACAACTCCTGCACTATAGTGCCAATGCGCACAGTTGCAGCTGCAATGTCAATGCTAGACCTCAGCATGGCAACTTTTCCGGAGAAATAGTCCCACTCAGCGCATGTAGGTCGCATGGGAAGTACTTGTTCAAATGGCGTAGGAAACGGAGCAGTACCTTCACCAATACTACTAGCACCACCGCTAGCATTAACAACACCAGGATGAGTCTGAGCAGGTGGTGAACTACCTGCTACTCCATTCGGCTGGGTTACCAGCAAGTCCCTGTAACGTGTATCATCTACTTTCCCGTTTGATGCCGCGATGTGGCTGGCACTAGTCCATACATCCGACACACAATCCACAACAAGCAAGTCTGTAAGGGTCCTTGCTACGGCACCACAGTTGCATCTAACCCTAGTCCAATGATTCCGAGCGACATCATCTCGTTCAGCCATGACATCATCATGACGTAGCCTGAACACGTGACTCGCATCGTTCGGCCAATGCGCAAGGCTGCACTGCGCAGGTGTCTGCACAGAGATCAGATGCAGTAGGCACTGAAGGAAAGTTTCCAGACACCTCTTGTACTGGCCTGAGAGTAAACGTATACAGCAGAGAAGCAGAGAAGCAGAGAAGGACACAGAAACAAGATACTGAGCAGCCTGGTATAGGCACAAAAAGAAGAGAAAGGTCAACAAATGCACTGGGCCATACCGTCACTCTCTAGTCTGACGTTGCCTTTGCTTGCTCTTACCTGGTGTGGACTTGAGATCAGCCAGATCATCTGCAGACGGCTTGCTAGCCTGCACAGGGAAAATCAAAACAAGCTTATCATTCACACTTCGCACCTAATTTTCATTATTTAGACAGATGTCCCTTATGATTGTCTCATGAAAATTGATAAAGAAATTTCTTGACCCATTTAATAATTTTCCAATTGCTGCACTTGCTACACTCGATGTCCGCCTCACTCTAATCCTATTCATTGCTGTAATAAAGGTCTTGTCTCCATATTGCTCATTTGATTAGTTGAAGCAAGGTTAGCCTTGAAGAATAGACGTTATGCGCTTACATCATCAGTTGAGATGCTTTGGCAAGGTCATGGCACAGCGCTGCACTAGCGACTCATGACGCATACATAGCGCCCATCAGCGCTTCCGCTGTATGCTTGTAGCGCCCATCAGCGGTTCCGCTGTATGCTTGTAGCGCCCATAAGCGGCTCCGCTGTATGCTTGTAGCGCCCATAAGCGGTTCCGCTGTATGCTTGTAGCGCCCATAAGCGGTTCCGCTGACTCGCCCCCATGAAATCATTCGCGTAACCGCTATACTATGTCTTCTATCAAGCAATAATATGAGGACGGAAAAAGTGTTTTAACTCAGCGTTTCATGCACTAAGCGATCATGAGAAAACAGTAATGAGTAACTCTGGATACTGGTTTATATACCCACAAAGCAAACAGTGTAAATGACAGCAGTTGTGAAAGATTGCATCACAGCATGACTTTGAAAGGTGTGTATGACAGCAGTGGGGAAAGATACTACTTCAAGTGACACACACTGGAGCTTGTTGTCTGCTACTTGATTAGGTGATGCCTGTGGATGGTTTGAAGTTCCGAAGGTAGTACTTATTCTCGTAGCGACACTTTGACACAAGTTCACTCCTCTTGTTGAGAGAGAGGTGCTTGGGTGTATGCGCGATCGCAAATTTTTCTGACGGGCATAAGTTGCACCTTTTGTTGCTGTAGGCCACTGCTTTGCGATGGACAGCCCATTGAATTCTGCATGCCTTCCCTTCATCCTTCTTGGCCCAGACGTACTGCAATAGGCGGGTGCCCTTCTAGTGTTGTCTGTGGTGGAATGATGATTGGTGGTTATAGTAGTGTTATTTGAATGTTGTCGCTGCTAATCCAGTATATTCCTATAGTAGTATATCTTCTATCCGTCAGCGCCATGGCAGCAGGATGACATTGTAAAATCCAAGATTGAAGGAAAGGTCAAATGGGGCTCCAGATCGGCGCCTCTCTCCGGGCCGACATGTGCTGCGTGTGTTTATGACTCACCATGCGCGCGATGTACTGTAGAAGATGCCACTCCGTACAGCCACCTCCGTACAGAACACATTGACTGCTAAAGCTGCCATCAAGCATCCTCCCTGAAAACAGTACCAGGAAAAGAGATACCCATGAATGGTATAAATGGCACACGTCACACAGTACGTTCTCTACCTAAAACCCTGCTAAAAGTCAACGGCTTACAAAATGGGAACTCCGGATCCTACTGTAGTCTAAACGCTCACTAAAGTGGAACTCCAGCCCAAAACCAACCCCACTATCTGTTGCGGAATCCAATAGCGTATGGCCTTAGTAATACAATGGCGAAAATCCGAAGCCATTGGGACAAGGAGAACCTACAATATCCAATTGAAATTCACGAAATTTTTCACGAGGGGCTATTGCCCCCTCCCCCCTCGCCCGTGTGACGTAAAACATTCTCTTTTTTACTGAAGTACATGGCACGTTGGATCAAGACAATTCGCACGGTCACTCACAGATAGATTTGCAGCACTGCCTCAGGTCCGCAAGTGCTGCTGTAGTCATGGGAGAGACCAGCACTAGAGTAGCAACTGACGTGTCACTCGGCACACCGGTCAAATGCCAGAATCTACAGGAGCAGAAGATAGCCGCCATGGGTACTGGCAAGAGTACATAACCTCCTAGAGTTTGCAACTCTAAAACTCTAAAACCTCTATCCAGCGATGTGCGTGGTTCAAAAGCAATATGCTGGCGAAGAGTACAACCGAACCACCTCCGAGAGTTATGCTCAAATCAGGGTTGCGTACAAACCAGGGAATCGCAAAATACCTGGTAAAACCCTGTAGCTGTTATGCACAGGGTGCCGGCAAACTCAGTTTAATGTATACAGGCTCGTTGTGTGATGTGAAGTTCTGCTGTCGCCGGCAGACCACATAGGCAGGAGTTGCACACTCGCACACTCTGGAGGGTCATGCACTCTTTGTACTGGTTACTCAAAGGCTTGAACTTGTCGTGACAGGCTTTGGGAAGCACGCCAGGTCAAGTGTTGTGCACAGTATTACCATTATTAGGTATAGTAGAGATTCATTCAGAACGGTTCTGAATGACGTTTCACGCGGTTTCATTGTAACAAAAATGGGTTGTTGGTACGGGAGCGTAGGAAGGTATTCGACATTAGTGCGGGCGCATGAGTAGGTGGGGGTCCCCTCCCCTCCCCCCCCCCCCGGGAAATTTTTTAAGGAAATCGGGCCCAAATAGCCCATATTTTATTGCTTCAAAAGTCACAAGACGAAATTATTGGTGTGGCTTTGGCCGGACCTGCCGCACCGGTTCTGACGCCCCCGTGGTAACTAACCACCGCTCAGTTGCACTGCAAATTCACAAAATCGATCAGAAATAGTTGATTAAAGTGTGCTCATTTTGACTATCTTTATGATCATTGCACAACTGAGTGTTGACCAGTGTTGCCAACACCTTGAGCAGTGGTTAGTGTTCAAGTACCTACAAGTAGGCAAACAACTCATTTTGTTACAATGAAACTGTGTGAAATGTCATACAGAACCGTTATGAATTACAACCCATTTTGGTAAAACAAAAAAAGTCTGGTTGCACACATACACGATACATTTCACTACCGTAGCAGTCAGTCGCTTACCCTGCATCGTGAACAGAAATGTGCTCTATGAAGGCTAGCTTGCCAACACTGCCATGTCCTACACTCTGCTGAATACTGGTTATTTCCGGGCCACCAGTCAGCCAGCAAGCCAGCGAGAATAGCTCCGCTCCCAGGCGATCGACAGCCAGGATGCCCTGAAAGAGAGACGCACAGATCCCAATGGTAAGAATACACTGCATGCACACGTGCGTGGGGTGATCTGTCCTGTGAGAACTGGACTGCGACTATGGCAATTTATGTTGCTGCTACCCGGTTGTGCACATAAAGGTGGGTATGTACATGCACACGCGTGCGTATGTGTGCGGACGTGTGAACGCAGGTCTGGGCATGTGCACGTGGGCTAAGGAATGATTATGTTAGCAATAGTGACAACTTGAACTACACCCAACAGTCACAATAATGATGTCATGTGATCATCGGCCATCCCGAAGACAGCATGACAGCCGAAGGGGCCGGGTGCCCTACCTGTTCAAGGAAGAACTGTTTGAGCATAGGGTGAATGCAGCGCTGGCACAACACCACACACACATCCAACTTAGTCAGCTGCGCAGCCCAGGCAAGCAGGTAATGCACCGCTCCGGACTCCAGCATGCCACTGGCACTGCCTGCAGCATCACACACCTCCAGGCCAATGCCTGCTGTCAGATCTGCAAACATACGTCCATGGTAGCAACACAAGAAAGAGGCCGCTGAGAGTGTAACAAACAAATTTTCAGTACCGTTGAACCTTGCACTGAGCTCTAAAACCCAAACCAGGTTGCTCACAAAGGTCTAGGGAAGAGCAAATTGGGAATGTCACTGGAAGCAATCTTTGGGTTAGCAGGCAGAACATCAATCAGCATGAGGTTAGCTACTTTTACCTGCTAGATGAAGGGACTACTGTGTGCCACAACTGTGGAGAAAAGATAGCGACAGACGTGCCCGAGGTCTCCAGCTTCCTGCCCAGACCGTGGTGTTTCTGTGCGATTTCTGCCGAGTTTATAATCTGGTATTTCGAGCTATCGGCCAGTTATTGGTAGGTGGATTGTTTGATGGCGTGTTTGCTTGAAACACATGCAGTCTTCAAAGATGTCGTATCAAGAGCGTGCCAACAGAGAACGTGATTTTATGTCCGCTCCTGTTTTTGTCCAGTTGTGATATTAGAGCTGCTCCGCTACAAGCACATAGGCCAATATTTTTGCTAAAGTTATAGCTGCTATTTTGCTTGCGTATGCGCTGGTATGAGAACCACTTGCTCACCTTGTGCATCAGCTGCGAGCGACACACTGACAGTGACCACATTCAGTCGATGATTGATGCCGAGCTGACGACTGCGCGTGTGGTGCCACTTTGCCAGTGCCCTGACCTGCTCGGTGCTCTCCATACCGCGGGGAACGATGCTGGAGGACGATACCAACAGGCCCGGGTACACGGTGCTGCCACATGGGTTGTCTTCAAACGCCAGCACATGTATTCGCTGCTGTGTGTCCTGGAGTAAACTCGTCTCTGGGCACTGAGGCTGCAGGTCTGCTTGGCACATGAAAAACACCTGAAAGTGGAGCAAAGATATAAAGCAGGTTTGCGGCACATATTTCCAATGTTTCCATTCCGGGTCATGTACGAGTATGTTCATTCAATTCCGAAGAATGTAGCCTGGCGAGGACTTGCATCACTCAGTGACACTCACCAAATGCTGCATACCAAGACTGTTACAATGCACACTTTTAACTTAAGATGCATTGTCATTTTGGACCCAAATTCCCGTGCCCACACAATATTGGGGATGGTTTGAGGATAAAAGGATCAAATGAGAGTGAGAGGCTCGGCTGTTGGTCACGTTGGGAATGCACATTGTACTTCAGTGCTCGTCAAATCCTGGAAAATACAGTAGGTGCATGACAAACACCAGGTCTCGCAGAGTTGCAAGCCAAACATGGCAGGAGATGCCTTTGTACTGGCAGTCCACAACGTGCGAGTGTCCAAGCTCACCTTCAACAGGTTCCGACACAGTGCCTGCCTTTCGTCACCACCAAACCCGCACGCGTGCACACTGCTCAGTGCAGTGTTGACCAGATTCAGCAGCATGTCCGTATTGCTCAGGTCAAGTCGCACACGGCATTCACATGATGGTGACAGCAGATACTCTTCCAGCTGGCGACCGAATTGAACGAGAATACACGATGCAATGCATGCAGGAATATCAAGCTCACTGAAGCTCAGCACCAGACTGTAAACAAACACACACACACACACACACACACACACACACGCACACACACTTGTACTTGTACTTGCTCACTGCCAAAACTGGTCACGTGGGTCTCCCCGGGAGAGGGGAGAGAGACTCAAAAGGAATCTTGGAAAGATGACTCAATTGGCCATTGAACCACCCAACGGCCGACACCACCCTGAAATCCCCGAACTAGGGTGGACATGAAATGATCCCACTTATGGGCTCACCACACCTCAGTAAGTGGGTGAGGACAAGGCGCAGAAAAGGATTGACAGCATCAGGGTATCCGTCCCGGGATCCAACTGCAGGTACCCTGCCCCCAGTGAAGGTAATACTTGGTACTAGTGTGGGTGGCTAAATCAGAGTGGATCTGATATAAGCTTCACTAGCACCATTGATTACACAAGAGTTAATATAGCCAGAAGCAGTCCATGGTTAACAGGTATGTATACTTCAAATAGAACGCACACACACACACACACACACACACACACACACCACAAAATCGGATGGGAGAATGCACAGGAGTGTGTATGCGGCTGCATGGTTAGTCTTCCTTGAAAGCCATTTTCAACTTGTTCAGAGCAACAAGCTCTTGGTACCCCTCTGTTCGAACTTTGAGACCATACGTTGCCTCAGAAGTAGCAAATACTTCAAGTATCTATAAAAACACTAGTTTCTGCATACACGTAACTTACCCGCATACCCTACAGGCCCGTAGCAGCCCCATTTTGGTTGGTCCGGCAAGATCCGACTTCGATGCTCCTCCTCCCCCCCCCCCCCCCCCCCAGCCCATACTCATACATATGCCGGTACATGTACAAAATGTACATGATTGTACATACATTGTACATGTACATGTACATGCATGTAATCGTGACCATGCAGAGTGACATAGGGCGAGAAAAGAAAGAAGGACGTTCGGCATGAGTCAGGAAAAAGGGCATCAGCATGTTGTGTCCGTCCAAACAGAACTTGTTGAAGCCTATGAAGGCATATCAACCGTATCTAAATGCATGTGATAAAAGAACCAAAGTGGACCTTTGGAGGAGGAGAAAGGATATTGCAATGGAATATCTTTGGTACAAACCCTATCTAGAAAGAATTGGAAGAAGAAAAGAATCAATACATTTCAGGAAGTACAGTGTAGGAACATTCACAGGCATGACTGTCCACATGACCTTCAGCAGAGTCATACTCCTGAAAGTGATGACATGTACATGTAGGTCTACTACCGGCACTACTACATGTATGTACAGTCAGTATCGCCTATAGCGTTGGTGTTTGATTTTGAGCATTTTATCACTATAAGCGATATATTACTATGACCGATACTGCATGCAATGTATGCAAGTGGGGTGTCAAATGACTCAGCGCGCCGTGCCCATACGCATTACATACATGTACAATGTCATGTAGCTGGCTGTAGCTCCGGACACACAAAATCAGCATTTCCTCATGATGGAGGCATATTTTGGCAACTTGTACAAGCAAAACTCACCACACTCACTGGACAAGTTCTTCACGAAGAAGTAACACCCTGTTCTTCTCTGACATCGCTTGATTTCACATCAATCACTATAACCGACGCAAAAATAGTGTAATAAAGGTCTTTTGAAATATGAATTTGATCACTATAGGCGATATATTACTATAGACGATTATTACTATACGCGATAACTGTGTATACTTAGTTATGGTAAATGAAAATGAATTTGAGAAATTGATCACTATATCCGGTATATTACTATAGCCGCCAACCTTATAGGCGATACGGACTGTACTACCTCTATGCTACTTATTGCACACATCCTCATCAATGGTACCGGGTGGACATCCTGAGCTGCTCACATCTGTGAGGTCCCGTTTTTTGTTTTTGTTTTGTTTTTTTTTGTTTTCTTGGTCGAATATTGGTCCGGCAGCTGCCGGACCTGCCGGACCGCCTGCTACGGCCCTGCCCTAGGGTGATCACTGAGGACGGATTTGACCATAGAAGTACATTGTACACCAGTGTTCCTACATGGAGGGGGGGGGGGGAGGGGGAGGAGGATCAGTTACCACTTTAATACAGGCATTCATTTCCTGTGCGTTCACTCATTTCGGACGAAGGCCCTTACCGCGTAGCCAGTACTCCCATGAGAGCAGCATGGCGTTCATCGCCGACATCAGCACAGTACTGGTGGATAGCTTTGTCCAGCATACCGCACACCGCATCCTCTTCATGTACCCAGTCTAGAAGACGAGACACTAGCGATGTGGTGAGTGCATTGCCTTGCGGCCCACTCTGGAGAACCTTCTGCCTACAGCACAGCCATCAGCAACAACACAGCACGATGCTTCATGGGGTTGGATTTCAAAACCTCTGAGAATCACAACATGCTGCTTCATGGGTTGGATTTCAAAACCTCTGAGAATCACAACATGCAGCTTCGAAGGTGCTTCATGGGGTTGGATTTCAAAACCTCTGAGAATCACAACATGCTGCTTCATGGGGTTGGATTTCAAAACCTCTGAGAATCACAACATGCTGATTCATGGGGTTGGATTTCAAAACCTCTGAGAATCACAACATGCTGCTTCATGGGGTTGGATTTCAAAACCTCTGAGAATCACAACATGCTGCTTCATGGGGTTGGATTTCAAAAAAGCTGAGAACCAAACAGGCATCATGCAGGCATCGTGCAGAGTCACTGCAAACATGATGCAGAGAACATTGTGGGTGGGTGTGTGTGTGTGCGTGCATGCGCGTGTGTGTGTGTGTATGTTGGGTCTGTTGCCTATGGGCTCGGCTACTTGAAGGTGTAATGTTGTACCCAGGCGCGTGCCCCGTATGGGTTCCTGGGTGCCCGGAACCCCCCTTTTTTTTTCGCTCAAAATGCAGGATTTTGCTTCATTTTTTGAACATTTTCCCCCCGGGGAGGCCCCCGGACCCCCCCCCCGCCCTTGAAGGGCACCGGCGCACGCGCCTGGTACCTGCCACCTTTGTTGGTTCCAGGGTTCATATATTTCTATTTGAAGTATACATACCTGTTAACCACAGAAAAGGCAGAACAGTACGCTCTGCCCATTTTGAGGTGTTGAGCACTATTTGCAGCAAGTGTGTGTGTATGTGTGTATGTGTGTATGCGTGCTAGCGAAGTACCAATCTGACACTGTGTATAACGCCTCACCGCTGCACAGCAGAACCGGTCAAACCCAGGAATAAGTCGTGTAGGTGCTTCAGTTCGGTTCTTGTTTCCTCCGACAACAGCGGATCTGCGATCACACTCACCTGTAGCAATAGCAGTTGCGCAATAACAGAAACCAGAATGAGAAACAGCAGAGGTAATTCACACCTAACAGGTCACCTGTTTCATGTGTGAGTATTTTGAGACAGTCTATGCGCCATGGAGTCACCGCTTATATATCGCTATGCTGCACTTAGTGAGATTCTAGCCTGTTTATTCTTCGGCGATACGTTCTTCGGCGCCCGACAGTACTGCTACAGTGTGTGTACGTGTATCAGGGATATGTAATATGGAGGAAACCATACCACACAAGCCTTCACATTCCCCATTTTTATAGGATGTCAGACTGCGCGGAACAGTGTCCGATTTTGAACAAGATAATTAAATTTGGCAGCACTGAGCAGGTAAGGAGAAGAACGTACGTGAAGTTCACGAGACATGCTGAACTGGTCTTCACTTCAGTATTCCTATAGCGCCTAAGCGGTCTACATCTTGCTGATACCGTAGGGATGGTAGCGCTGGTGATAGATGATGGCTGGAGAAGCAAGTACTAGTATAGTAGTGTAGTAACCATTCACTACTACCGGTATTACCCTGGCGATACTAACTACAGTAGGACAGAAACGAATATCATTTGAGACGCTATCAGTGATTCTGTTCAGAAGCTAGCGATTGTTTTTTCTGTAATACCCGCTGCTGCTTCTCTTTGCGCGCCCCAATGAACCGTCATCGGATACACAGCAGCAGCAACTACAGCCCTAACGCCCGAGCAAACAACAACCATTCATTGTGAAGATATGGAAGAACTGGAAATGTGAGGTTGTGGCCCCAGGCGAGGTAACTGGTTGAGCCAGTTGTCATGGTTGTACTTGTAGTTGAGGATAACGACGACTCACGTGCACAAGCAGCAAAGCCAGACGATAAAATATTAAAATATTACTTACCCGGTAGTACCAAGAGTTCATAACCCCCTACTTGTAGCCCTGGGGGCTATCATGGTTATGAACTCTTGGTAGTAATTAGTAATTACTAATAGTACAAATACTCAGTAATACATGTAGTAGTACAATGCAAGGTCATGCCAAAGATCATCCATTCATCATGATTCTGGAGGAGTGGGGACTGGGGAGCGCGGCCAGAAGATGAGACAACCATCCGAACTGTAACTTGGGTCAAGCCCAAGGGGGGCGGGAGTCCGAAACTCCTCTCATTCTTCTGTTCGTTGTACAGGTATCTGTACTCTCCTGGCCGTTATTCATTCATTACTCAGGACGCACAGACACAACAGAAGGATGCGGACGGAGAAAGGATGGACAAAGTACTACATGTAGTACATGGCATGTTTGTGTCTTTCCCTCAAACCAATGAATACAATCATGATCCATGTAGATCTACATGATTGTACAATCGTCATGTAGGTTGCAGATTGAAGGTCTCCTGCACAAATCAAGGAGTTTCGGACCCCCTCCCCCCCCCCCCCCCCACGAATACCGGGGCTTGACACCGTAGACGGTTCGGACGGTGGCAAGGCCGGGACTCTACCAACTCATTGTAGCCTAGTTTATCATGGTTGCAGTCAGGAACACTGTTCTCCACACAGTGTGTCCGCTGCCTCTGGTACCTGCTGTCCTTCAAACATGTAACATTACAACTACTCGACCATGTAGTCTCCAGATCTTCTGGCCACACTCTCCACAGGCCCACTCACCCGCCTAGGCTTTGGTACCTGCTATCATCTTCAAACATGTTAGACTATCATAATTCATTATCATAATATCAAGCAAGGCTTGTATTATCATGTATTGTACAGTACATGTCCAGTCATGTACAGCTGTAAAGACTGAAGTGCAAAAAAAGTGAAATGAAAGAGGCTAAAAGAGAGGGGGGGGGGGGGTGAGGGTATTACGCCATTCTCAAGCTTTTTCAGCTTACGTGACTGGCTATTAGACTGGCAAGAGGCAAGGCTCGAGCTATAGGTTAAAAATCAGACCAAGAAACTTTCTATAAAAAATGTAAAATATCAGCCTAGGCATTTAGGCCGGGGGAAAAAGCCTAGGCTCCAAGTTGAAGAAATGAATTCTAAAGTAAATCACTGACCCGGCACATCAGAGAAAAGGTACCGTAGCACCTCTGCAGAGCACAATACCGACATGAAATGGTACAGAGAATAGACGTGTGTACATGTACACAGATAACATGTGGCAAAATAGACGTGTACGTGCCTGGAACTGCGCATCGGTAGCACAGGGAGTGCCATGTAGGTCACCGTCATGAGGGCGAGGAGTACATTGCATGAGCTGGTATCACAAAAAGCAGCCAGCTGGCGTACCAACCAGTAGGGTATGGCTTAAAATAAACCTGCAGTGGAGAATTCGAAGAGCTGAACCGCACCGGGGAAAAATATGTCGGCGTCAACAATACTGCAGCAGCTATCCGTACATGTAGCAGTACTGGCAGAGTATGACCGCCATGTTCTACACATGTTCTGGTATACATGTGTCAAGGATGCACACCGTGGCTCGAACCTGCACCTGGTCAAGTGCACTGCATGGTCGTTCACACACCAGCTTACATGCAGCAATGCTGGCCATCGCTGACCAAGCATATCACTGGCTGCATGTTGAGCTGCAGGCCCCAAATCGGACCGACAAAAGAGTCTGCTTTTCCCTCTAGCTGATAACGAGCGGACGGCTTGTAGCATGTGGCAGAAAGCTGGGTGTGTGCGTTGCTAAGAAGATGAGAGATACGATGAGTACAATGGAGAGTAAGAAGAATCCAATGATCAGTCCCATCAGAGTGGGACCACTGAAGTAGCCAACACAGTCGACTGAGTCGTCAAAGCGAACGGTGCCTTTGGAAAATGAAAAGGCCTGTACTTGCAAGCCAGTAACATTGAGGACAACACTGGATGAGTTGACACTGGTGCACGTGCCGTTGAAGGGGTTGTGACCTTGACGTGTTCTCCAGCTTTTCTCAACATTGAGCGGCACCCACAGACGCTGAGGCTGGCAACTAAATGAGAAATTACGCGGTGCAATAACCCAGTCGTTCTCATCCTTAGGCAGAAAGCACGTCGACTCGCTGCCATCTTTGGCAACAATCGTTGCTAGTTCCCAATAGAAGGAGCTGTTTGTGCTGGAAGCTGTCTTGGGACTCAGTCTGCCATTAGTGCGACGAAAGTGAAAGTCAAACGTCAAATTTTGCTTCTCACTGGAGCTGCTGCTGCCATTCATAGTTACTGAGGCAACTAGACCTGTGCCATTGGCCGTCGTGTGTGTATCACATCCAACCAGCTCTGATCGCGGCTCTCCAGAAGTAGCCAAGCTAATGTTTGATGAGTTTCCCGTCACGTATTTGATGTCCTTGAAGAACAGCATGACAGCTGGAGCAGAGCCATTGGTAGAACCATTGCATGAAAACACCAATAAGGTGCCAGCTGTGATGTTCGCTTTGCTCGCATAGCCCCATGCCGAAGCGGCAAAGGATAACAGGACAGCAGCATACAATATTGAAGCAGCCATCATACTTCAAGTAGACACGGTTTGATACACAAAGCGAGGCCTGGAAGGTGCCACAGGATGACTTCCTTGCCACGAAAGCAGCGAAGGACACTCAGGTAGTCAGGAACTAAAGTGAGCTAAAGTTCATGAAGTCTGAAAACCACTGAAAACCACAAATAAAAAGTTCAAGCTCAGCTTGCACGACTGCACGTGCGCTGTTGGCTGCATTATAATTATTATTATGTCATGCATACTGCAAGGTTGTCGGATGACGTAGATTTACGTACGTCGCGCGCGCGTCGACGCGCCGTACGGCCGGCCGTGCACGCGTGCATGAAGATCTGGCCTGCCAACAGAAAAAGATCGAATAGATCAAAATATCCCGTCATTCGAAACCTTTCATGTGCTTTGTTGAGAAGAAACGTTAGTTTACTGTTTAGCTTGCTGACTTTCAGTTCGAAAGGTGAGCAGCTAAGAATGGACCTGATCTCTGCAGGACGTCATTGAGTAGCTCAGTAAAATGACGTCCGCTGTTGCGCCGTTGGATCAATGCTTGGCGTTGTGGAAAGGTGCATCTACTGACAATGAAAAACTGGCTGCCTTGATGCTGGTTACTCGAGTCTTCAATGGCGAGAATAGCGATGCAGTGTCGCGTAGAACTCTATTCCAGTGCATTGGATTCGAGTTTCTGGATCGCCTCTTGAAAAGTCCAGTTCCAGAAGGCAGTGCAAGCCACGCGTATGTGGCGCTGTCTCTGTCGTTGCTCAGTGCATACGCCACGGACGAAGAGATGCTGATTAGTGCTGGCATGCTGGAGAAAATTCCATTATACCTAGATTGCCTCTGCCACGGTGAGGTGAGCATTGCATCGGACAGTGCACAGATACTTCTTGCGTTGGCCAACACGGTGGAAGGTCGACGGCAAATCTTGTGCGCATCAAAGTGGGAGGCCGTGTTTGCCAGTGCTGCTTCAGCAAGTTCAGTGTCTGGTACGGCCATGGAGATTGTCAAGGGTCTGCTCGCATCTGGGGCCATAAGTGAAGATGAGGTCAGCCGGTACTCGTCCGTGTGCTACAAAATTGTCTTAGAGCTGTCAGAAAAATTCCAGGCCAACCAAGACAAGGAAAAATTTGAAATAGCCGGACATATCGAATTCTTCCTTACTTATGCATGTAGTCATTTCAGAGATGGTAGTTCTTCGACAGCAGCTGGACAACTATTAAATGATGATGCTTGGAAGCAGAGCATACACCAGGGTCTGTTTGACATTCTGCGCAGTCGTTTAACCGCGGAGCTACGGTGCCAGGCATTTTCACTGCTCGTGCCCATGATTGGTCTGTGTGGTATTGACTGGATGTTACCAGCCAACAGCAGCAATGGTGGTGAGTCGAGCAAGTCTTCGCTATTGGTACTGTGCACCACACTTGTTGGAGTAGAAATCAATGTTCATCTTGCTGATGCCGAGGCTGATACTGGCAGCAAGTTGTCACCGGACGCTCGCTCTACTCTTGTGGACTGTTTTCGTATAATGGAGGCTTCGGTGTCGGGAATAGCTAGCCTAGCGGATGATATGGATGACGGCAAGCGGCCAGTGCTGAGTATGGAGGCCATTCTCTCGCTGCACAGCACTATCACGGATGCGTTGCGCTCTGTGTTGTGTTTTCTAGCTTGCCTGACTCCTGAGCAACCGAGCTTGCAGACCGACAGTCTTGTTGTTGGTGCTGCCCGCCTTGTTGCTGTGTGGGCTGAGGACGAGGTCGAGATGCTCAGAAGTGAATTAGCGGCATGCACGGATATCCTGCGGTGTGTCGCTCAGAACAGTCCGAATGATTCGGTATTCCGCAGCTTAGACGGTCTTTTTGGCATGGTTGTAGCAGACTAAAGGTAGCCACATTTGATGCCCTTGGGGGAGCTGCTGGTTTCGGGTCTCTTTCACTACCGTTCTATTTCCTTACAGTTGTCTCCTGCTGGATGCAGGTTAGGACAATACCAGTGAGCTGCTGGCTTCGGCTCTCTGTGTTTCCTCACTCATTTTAATTGCGAAAACGCATCTTTCTGGTATGGATGACGGTTTTCATGGAAATTAACCAGTGACTCTTATACACGTAGAAGCACTGCTGTATTGTGAGGTGGCTTTTGATGGCCTTGGCTTCCCCTGCCTGCTAGGTACCAGTGCTAGAGGTGACCAAACTGGCAAGTAGTGCTACAGACTGCAGTAGCGGACAGTTGTGCACTGTGCTGAGTGAGACCTGATACAGTGCTTTCCATGGTTATGTTGCATGGTCAATTCCATGAATCACTTGATCACAGCTCAGCTGTATCTGCATCAGGGTGGGATCGAGGAAGTCTGTGCTGCCGGTATGGTGTGCTCTACACCTGGTCTCACAGACTACATGTACATGTACATGGAAGGATGGTACATGTACAATACCACAGTACAAGACAGTAGAATCTACACTGCCAGGATATGAAAATGCTATTGCAGTGTACATGTGTATACACTGCAGAGTGCAGTTAGTTTTCGCCCGCGATCTTTTTACTTGTGAAACGGTGACAATAGATCAGTAAACAGTGTATGTCTGCCAGCAACGTGATGACACATTGTGACAATGATAGCCAGAGAAAACCGGGTCATGATTGAAGCGGCTATTACAATCGCCCTGTTTATCATCTCTTCACTGTCCCCGATGCTCTGGATGCTTCTGGTGGATCCCTCCTGTCAGCAGCGACTCCCAAGCTATTAAAGGCGGTGTGCAAGGGCGTTAACTACACTTCCCCAAACATCTTTGGGTTCCTGGTCCCAGGGAGTCATATCCAAGACAAAATTAATTAGATCCTGCTCTTGGTAAGACCAGGGAGTCGTATAAACTTTATACGACTCCCTGGTAAGACCAAACAACGTCCATGAACAGGAGTGTCACGGTTCGCAAGTCATTTTGCAATACTAATTTGAATGTTTTTGTTGCTGACACTTGCTGTTGCTGTTGCTGCTGCTGCTGATGCTGCAGCTGTTGTTGTTGTTGTTGTTGTTGTTGTTGCTGTTGCTGTTGTTGATTTTGTTTGGGCTTCAAACTAGGAAAAGGCCTGGCACTTGTCCTTGCTGTCCTGACTGGTTGTCGTGCAGGTGCACTACGCATCAGTTGTGGGGACACTGAGTAGAACTACTGTACACCTATGTACTGTACAATCATGCACTAGTCTACATCACTGTATGCAACATCAAGAGCACATGAAAAGAAGGTTTTCATGTACCGGTACGAATACTCTTGCTGTTGTATGCTTGTGAACTTCGGTTGTATGTACATATGTATGGTTTTACCCTGTTTCCATGGGGATCAATTGCACAGACGCGACGCGACGCCTCTGACCACCAAAACTCTCAAAAGCGTAGATCTACGAAACAGCTGATCATTTCACTCGCTCTGATCTGGCTAGTTCCTCACGAGACATTGCCGACCGAAACAGCAGACAACCCGTCACCATGGTCACACTGCTTGGCTGTGTGGGCTTGCTTGGTCAGGTCTGAATTAGTTGAACTAATGTTACTTCAAGTTCAGCAACTACTACTAGTACTACGGTACTACTGAGAGTTTTACAGCAGGGCACTTGACAGTGAGTGACACTGCCGGGCATGCCCATGCCAACACTGGACAGCAACACGAAGAGGACAGCGTCGACCACGGTTTTCGCGGACTTGTGGAAGGAAGGATCCTACATGCCTCGGAACGTGGACGTATTTGTTTTTCTTCTGTCCGGACAGCAGTGGGTTCATCGATCACCAGGTCGCTACATACAGCACTATTGTTGCAAGTAATAGTATCTAGAATCGATTTAGCCACGCTCCAACAGTGGGCCGGGCCAGTGATACACAGGTGCTGCTGTCTCTCAGGCCGAGTCGGTCCTGTTGGAAAGGCGTAGCTGAGCACAGCGAGTCCGCAAGCAAGACAACGACTTCAGGATCGTTGAGGTGATCAAGATTTGACCCTCTCTTGAATCAGGTTCCGCTCAACATGACAACGAAGGGCGGTGCTGGCGCTGCTACGTCCGAAGGCCTGCGCACAAATGGCGGGACTGTCAAGCGGGTTCCTGTTCAGACTAGTACTGACCAGAGAGCTAGCTCAATGACCTGTCGCCACACCTCGCTAAGGTAAGTGATGGAAATGATGCCGGGGGAGGTGTGACATTGTTCCATTAGAAATACGCCCAGTGTTGTATTCTCAGCCCACAAGCAACTAAATTACTCCTTTTATACAGTTCTACTAGTCGGGGACTAGGGCCAGTAGGGGCTCACTCCACATATCGTGTCGGCTGGGTCCTCTTTGGTCGGGTGGTATAATAATATGTGAAATTTGGGCTCCACGGGCTTTATACAGTTGCCCCTCGCTAATCCAATACTTGGTAAACCAGTGTACTATTTTGACCGGATCAAAGTGTCATCATGCGGCAATGTGTCATGCAGCACAGGAAATTGATTTTATGTATAAACGGTGTTCTCAATTCCTGTCCAGACCAATGGAATGGTCCAGGTGGCACCCGATGATTCCAAAGCACTACGTACCACCGTGGCAACAAGACATGGTCAACAGAGAGAGGATTGTGCAAGTATGTGTGCATTGCCGACAAATTGTACAATAATGGCTGCTATGATACTGTCAGCTGCTGCATACTTACTAGGGGAGACCCGGTGGCAGGAAAGAGTTCAGAAAGCACGCCTGACTCGGTTTTGCTGATCATGTATCCAATGCAGGATGAAGCGTTGTTTACTTTGTGTTACATTGTGTGTGTGTGTGTGTGTGTGTGTGTGTGTGTGTGTGTGTGTGTGTGTGTGTGTGTGTGTGTGTGTGTGTTGAGTTTGGAGGGGAAGGTTTGCTTTTTGTGAGCTCCTTCGTCAGGATCACGGTTGAAGCCACCCTAAGCAGCCATGAGCCGTTCGGTGAAGATGAAGCCATGGAGGCTGTGATGGACCACTACACTATAGGTAGCCTTGCAAGTAACTCTGCTGGAAATCAAACAACACACTGCACAAGGCGAGCGGAGGGATGTTTTGAGTTTTTGAATTAATATTTGACTATTGCTCAGCTTGCAAGCTATCATCGCACTAGCGATGGGCGTCCAAGGTCCAATGTGTGTGCGTGTGTGTGTGCGCGTGTGTGGTGTGTGTGTGTGTGTGTGTGTGTGTGTGTGTGTGTGTGTGTGTGTGTGTGTGTGTGTGTGGTGTGTGTGGTGTGTGTGTGTGTCACGGTCTGCATGTGCATGCACGTGTGCATGCGGCACGTGAATATGTTGTGTCCTTGCACTGTTTGAAATACAGAATGCTAAACAAGCTGGCTGTGCTGGCTGGGAGGGCCACAATACGGTGTTCCAAGAGAAACGAGGTGAGCTACCTTGAGGGTTTCTATCGGTAGCCAAGGCATACATGTCATGTTGTAATGATATTATTAGATCATAGAAACAGGGTTGCTAACTTGCTACAGATGGTTGAAAATAAAAAAGACATGTAGTACAGTCCATCAACAACCAAACCCGGGCCCATCGGTTTTTCACAGTCTCACTTCATTCTTATTCAAGATCGTGAAGTCGATGGCTTTATATAGGGCAGACATATGATAGCTGTTGTTTTAAGCCTAAGATGAAGTGAATGGTATGAAAATTGATCAAGATAGATGTAAGACGTATTTTTCTGATAGAGATAGTTTTAGTGTATCAGGGGCCCCGATTTGGCGAATGGACTGTACTCGTAGTCAAGACTTTCGAGGTCTCACTGACAGTGATGTCTCATGTTCACTTCCTCTCTTCAATGCGGCACACACAGAACGACTGTATCCGGAAGACGCCCCGCCGGACAGGTTTGCAGCAACCGAGCGCCGGGAGCAGCTGAGACCACCGATCGCCAGTCCGTTCTCGCGCTACACCAGCGGCCTACTGACATGTAAGCACTGAGCTGCACTGAGGATGGCGGAGTGCCCAGGAGTACGTGCAGGACATTGATATTGTCAGTGTCACTCTCCGGTATGAAACCATCATGATTTCACAGCACTGAAAGTGCATGTATCAGCATAGCAACCATTGCCACGTACCTTGGCCCATCATGATTTGACAGCAGTAGAAGTAGCAGCAAGTAGCCGTTGCCATATCCCCGAGCAAAGCAGCACGTTTCACAGAATGCTTTCATTATAGCATTGCTGGTCATAACTATCACTGCACATAATTATTATTGTACTTTCATAGACTCACATGTGTCCGAGTCGTTGTACGCACATGCGTGTAATACAACCTAGTTGCTTGAATATAGCCTCTTGAAGCAGATCATGACCAGTGTTCATGTGTTGGCTATGAGGAGGTATGCTGTAGATCGTCCCTTACTAATCTTAGTTGTTGCATTGCTCAGCTAGGTTGGATGGGCAGTTTGCATTGTGCAGGGGAGGGGTAGCCAGGCTAACAAATAATCACCCAAAGCTCGACTAGTTTCAAAATAGATGTACCGGTATTCGGACAGGTGTAACTAAATTACTTAGGCTTGTGTGGCTGTATACCGAGGAGCAAAATGTACTATCATGGCTTTATCGGCCATGTGACATTGTTACTGGTGCAACTGTGATATGAGTGGGGACTGGGGAGACTGGGAGGATCATGTGACTTGCATGGCTGCTGTTTTACTAGATTGATTGTCACCGAGGGCATGCATGCGCTGTGCCCCGGGTGCCCCTGGGTGTATACTTCGAAATACATGATGTATCTCTGCAGTACAGCTAAGTAATTAGTTATCGTATGTACTGCATCTGTACGGGGCTGCTCAATGAAATCCAAGGCTGCACGGTGCCTGGCAAGTGGCATACCATTAGCTCGCTTGATCGGATTTCATGGAGCAGTACTGTCTGTACATGACTGTATACAATGTCACGTAGATGTACATGTACGTGTATCAGAATACTGATGCAGTGCAGTGCAGTGCAGTGGAACTAACTTACTTTGGCAATACAGTATAATTATGTTGTATGCAATGACGTCATCACTTGACATGCTATCTACGGAGTGGTAAAAAAAACTGTGGTATCACAGCACTGGTGTGCCACTACTGGTACATACAGCGCCTTGTGACGATGTCATTCATAGAATGCCCATACATTGTAGAAAGTCTAGTTGCTCATTGCCTGTGTCGTCGAATTGTAAATGCAAGTCCGTGACAGGGGGGGGGGGGCATGCACAATTTATCCATAAAAGAGAATTGGATGACATAGTGTTGGCACTCCTCCCAAGTTGAACATGCACAGTACCCGTGTGTGTCTGCCACATCAATACACATTGTCGCACACAATAAAATGCCCAGTCCATGGCTACAGAAACATGTAACTGTGGAGTGCCACCAGCAACACTGGTCAGTGGAATGTCTGTGGTCAACTAATCATGCACTGCTGTAGTGCATGCAAAAAAGGCAATACTTCTTCAGAATATGCAATGTACATGCCTTTTAAGTTGTAGAGTGGAGCTCACTTCAGTCACAAACTTCGTCCTATGCACGTGAGTCATCGACTCTTGGTTTTAGCACTTGAAGAAGAAGCAAGAAGTAGACCGTCTTCTTGCTGTGTGTACATAACCGCAGCTCTACTACATGCATGATTATTGATACAATGTACAATGTAGATATGCGTCTTTCTAGCCATGTCTTACTTGTACTGGTAGCGTTCTGCATCTTACTCCTGTCTAGTGCTTCTACCGTTTTCACGATGACAGCGTGAACAAGAAGTATGGGAAGCGAGAAGTATACTGTCTTCTTGCTGTGTGTACATAACCGCAGTTCTCCAGTCATTGTTTGATGATTGATACAATGTACAATGTAGATCTGCGTCTTTCTAGGCATGTCTTACTTGTACTGGTAGCGTTCTGCATCAAACAAATACTTACTACTACTACTACTACTACTACTCTACTGTTGCAAACAAATTCCGGTGGAACAAAAAGTAAAATTTATGTCTTTTATACTCACGAGTTTCAAGCTGAAAAGCAATCCGATGATCAGGAGACTGGGCCATGGGGCTGGGGAGCACTGTGAGACCGGTAGTCAAGGGTCTTCTGTGTACTTCTACTGTTGACTAGCGACAAACAGCTGTCTGACATGATAATGATAATTATGAGTAGAGTGATTGTCTCGTTATACAATCACGTACATCCAGGCTAGCTAGCCTTTGCTACAACTAAACTCACTGACCCTCTACTCTAGCTCTGTCTCATGATGTTACTTTTTCCTACTGTATTCGCTGAACTGCCCCCTCGGACAGCTCTCTGACGCACTGCATGTTAGATAGTCGCCGATATCAGAACACATATCGCGATATGTGTTCTGGTATCTCGGCCTGGCCACGCTCTTACCTGGAGAGATCCGCATGATCCACTACGCGCGCACGGGGCTGAGTTGTCTGAGGCAGTGAGGGAGTGTGCAACTGCACGTGATCAGTGTCAACCACAAACAAGCGGTGATCGCTCAGGGTAGCTATTTCTCCTGCCGGCCTGGTCCGGCTTCCAATAAATCGGAAGGCTAGTGTTTTCGCTGAGTCGGTGCGCCTCGTGGCTTACTGGAGGGCGATGTAGCGTCAAGGCGCAGTGTGGATGCATGTGACGAAATAGCAAACCTGGAGAGTTGCTAGGAGAGCTTCAGGTTTCTCGTCCGCTTGCTGGTGTGCCGGGGAAAGAGGAAAGACTTCTCACTCCGAAGCAGGCTGAACTGCCAGCAGCAAGAGCTCTTCCCACCATTCAGGAGGCTAGGTGCCGAGCGTCTACTTAGCTGGCTACCGTCGTCATCGAGTCGTCGTCATCGAGTCGTCGTCGTCGAGTTGTAAGTACCCCACAACCATGTCTACCCGGCGGCCGGGGTATATCGGTATGCCCGTGTGTGTGTGTGTGTCTGAGGTCTGAGGTCTGAGGTGTGTGTGTGTGTGTGTGTGTGTGTGTGTGTGTACCTGTGTGCCGTCTATCAGTCTAACACTATGTCCGCTAAAAAAGGCTCAGCTCTACACCTCTCACCAGTGGTAGCGATGAAATGTACAACATCGTTACGAACTTTGTTAGCTCACCTCGTGCTTGCGCTCAGACTGAAGTAAACACGCAGAAGACTCCGTCACTCGAAGTCGTAGCATTCCAAGAGGCATATTTCTGTGTACCTTTGAAAGGCTTTGTTGCGTAGGCTATCCTGCACGGCTGGATCGTGTCCGATATTCTGCGACCTTTTGGAAGGTTACTGTACTGGTCGGATTGCAAGGCTACTGCACTTGTGGCGACCAAATGCGCTTCCCATTCAGATTTTGATGATGTTTGGTTGGACGGAGTTGCCGAGGACAAGTATTTTGTGAACGGAAAACTACCAGGCAGCCACAGGAACACGCTCTTGAGCGCTCGGCAGCGACGGAAGCTCATTACACAGGAGGTAGTGGAGGTTAGCGGTTGCCATCATGGCAGCTTGCAGCTACATAACATGACGTAGAAACGCTACAGTATGTACCGGGCATTTGATAACATTCCACGCTAGATTTCCTGCGGTGTTGTTGGTCAGTGGCATGATGCGGGCCCTACTTCCCGCCACAATGTAGATCTACCATTGCTAGCATAACTGTTCAGTTTGTTGATTAAATGCACACTCTTCCTCTGTCCTGTGTGATCAAGCACGTACTTAGCACGTGCTATAGTATATCAGCGTGACATTATACATGTTTGTGGATGTGGGTCTCTGTGAAGGACCCTCCACCATAGTGCTGCATGTTCTGCTTCATATTCCCACCTCCCAACGCAATGAACCATTGCTAGCGAAATGGGTACATGTACAGTCTGTATCGGCTATAGAGTGACCGGGTATAAGAATATATCGGCTACAGTGATATTGTGAAAAGAAGAAGGACAAAATGTTAAGAGTTATGACTAACTGTCCACCAACGTAACCAGATCTTATACAGTCCTTGTCAGTTTTGTGCCATTTTGTCGCACTCGCTGACTGTATAAGATCTGGTTACGTTGGTGGACAGTTAGTCATAACTCGTAACATTTTGTCCTTCTTCTTTTCACAATTATTTAATTGGCTCACCATCCGAGTTACAGTGATATTGGTAGGAAATATCAAAAGCAAAACGTATTTTATCCAGTACAAATATCATTATAACCAATATTATCGGATGTAATGATATATCGGATATTATGATGGCAACAAAGAATCAAAACATGCATAACACACTATATTATTATCAGCTATCGTGATAACTTTAAAATACATGTAGCAATAATATCAAAGGCCCTATTTTTGTACTTTCTTCACGTTGCTTTTTTTATAGTGATACATGTACTCAATCTGCGGACAGCATGCTGTTTCGTTCTTTGTGAACTCGTCAGCGCAGCACAGAGAAAATGAGGCCGAACCTGATAGCAATGAAAATAAAATTTCCAAAGCCAGATTTAAATCAGGCCCGAACGTACCTTGCCAGAGTGCTCAAACTGACAAGTCAGTGAGCTCTGTGATACATGTACATGTATATGTACATAACATAATTTTTTTATGGAAGTGTGGGCACTGTCAACTATGCAGCATGCTCATGTGTCAAAACGACATGCTGGAAGTATTTCCTTGCCTTTCATGTGTCGATCGAAAAAAAAGAAAAAATCGACCGTATCGCATATAGTGGTGCATCGGTTATAGTGATAAAATCACGGAAATCAAAAGGGTACGCTATAGCCGATACAGACTGTACTAGTATTGCAGTAAGTATGTCAGTTGTGTAGTGTACACACTTCCTCTGAGCTTATCCAGCCTGTACAGATGTGTACATGCATGCACATGTATAATTATGTACATACGTATTAGATGAACCTTGTTGTTCAAACATGTTGTTGGTGTCCTCCACCTTGTTACATGCTGTGACAACCAACAACATGTATGTACGTGGATGTGGGTCCCTGTAAGGGTTCCCTTGAACACCCTCAGCGGGCAGGTTTTCATACCAGGGCAGGGCGTACCGTATATACATGTTCTTGCAGCTCGTGTTGTATTTGTGTGAACAGCCAGATTGCACGATGATTGCGCAAAATTGTATGCAGAACTTCAACCTTGCCTAGCTCGCTCCCCTCTCCTTGTTGTATGTGGTTGTGCCTGTGAAATAATCATTTAGTGCAATTACCCGTTTGCATGCTCTTATACACTGTGCATGTGTGGCACTGCAATTCTGCTTGCATACAGACGGTGACCTCTGCCTTACTCGCTCGCATCAGTGCACAGCAGGCCGCGACCGGCGTGCAGAGTTCTTCTAAAGCATGGCGTGGCTCGCGTCACTATCGCTACTGTTGGCCTGCGTGGCAATGGCACAAGGTAAGCCAATCAAACCAAAATACATGTACTAGCAGCGTTCATTAGTTTGAGTTTTTTTGTTGTTGAAAAGGGCAATGGTAGCACGATAGTAGCATGATAGGGCAATAGTAGCATGATAGGGCAATAGTAGCATGATAGGGCAATAGTAGCATGATAGGGTTCTTAACTCCACCTATCTAACTACATGTATGAAGAGAGTTGATTTGAGGAAATTGGCTGGCTGAAAGCGTGCAGGTTTCTGCTGCAGGAACTGCTCGAAAGCGTTCTCACCAAAGATGGCAGCCTGAAGCTGAAGACAGCAATTATACCAGTAGCTGACATTGTATGATACTGTCTGGCCAACAGACTCACTAGGTTGTTCTTCTAGCAGTAATCGACGTTCTATTGCTGCACCATGGTCATGCTGCTGGTTCTTCTGCAAAATATCCGACGGGCCAATGTGCCCCCTCCCCAACACACACACACACACACACACACACACACACACACACACACACACACACACACACACACACACACACACACACACACACACACACACACACACACACACACACACACTCCCCTCCATTCTCTACTGCGTGTGCCTATTTTTGTCTACAAGTATTTTTCTCTCACTACAATCGGTTACAATATCCACGTGTCTGATGTCTCTGTTTCTGATTGCACTTGCTAGCCCAGTGCCCGACGACCACCGGCTACTTCTCTTCGGCATCCAGCTGCTACTACCTACAGCAGATGTCAAACTTCACTTGGGTTGAGGCACGCCAGTACTGCGTGTCCGTGTTTGGTGGAGATCTCGTCTCACTGCAAACGTCCTCCGAACAGACTTTTGTGAAGGGAAAGGCATCCGGCAGTACCAACGCAGTGTGGATTGGCCTAAATGATCGCCTGGTACGTAATTGTCCACATGTACGCATCGTTGCTATGGGTGAGGTCAAAGACGGAGGCAGACACAGTTTCACTTGGTTTACTTTAGCAGTCAATTACTTTCTGTGTTTAGGCTTGAAGTCATTTGAAAACCGACCGATCATGCTACCACTGCACGAGCAATGACTAATCAGCACAGTAAAACATGATGATGATACAGTGCATGGGACTGGGGTAACTGCTCTCTACTGACAGGTGCTCTCTACACACCGGTGCTCTCTGTAGACAGGTGGTCTCTACTGACAGGTGCTCTCTGCACACCGGTGGGTGCTCTCTACACACCGGTGCTCTCTGAAGACAGGTGCTCTCTGAAGACAGGTGGTCTCTACTGACAGATGGTATCTGCCTGTAATATACACACAGGTAGTCCCTACAGACAGCTGGTCTCTAGAGACAGGTGCTCTCTGAAGACAGGTGGGCTCTACTGACAAGCAGTTTATTGTGGCAGGTTACCATGTACAGCGGTACTACCCAATGAACATGAATGCCTGGGAACTAGGGAATACTTCCCGTCTCGGTATGCATACAGTGGAACATTGATCGGACATACTCGCATGGGCAGCAGGAAAGTGTACCGGTACTTCGTATCTGAGGTACATGTACTTTGTATCTGAGGTACATCATGTACTTCTTATCCAAACAATCTACATAGGGTGGATCAATACACCCGTACTGCGGATAATGCTTGTGTTGTGTCTACGTTCACACAAAGTACTCTTCAAGTTCACCAAGAAGAAAGACCATATTTTCCTTACGCATGCGCAATATGACATGTGAACATGTAGTCATAATATACTAACTACACTACATACCTGGTAACAATCCTCCCCTACAAAAAGTTGAATGTATATGAAAGAAAAATAATAATAACTACACTACATACAGGTCGTCCCTCGTTAATACATAATCTCTAATCTCTGGGACTTGACAAATGTTATGTATTAACGGGGTTAACCGGTATGTACTAAACGAAAGTGTACATAACTTGTTTGTGTACCGGAATATTTCACTTTTTTCAACTTTTCTGAGTGTTTCTTGCTACCACTACTAGGCAGCGAGATATTCTTGATTCCCTCGATATAACATACAAATTATGTTATAACGGTCACAGTAAGCGAAGATTCTACAGTTTACATGAGACATGCCCAGCCGCGCCTGTACAGTCACTCGAAAAAAAACAGAGCTTTGTCGGTTTGTGAGTGTGTGCTCTGATTTCTGAGCTAATTGTGTCCACAACTAACTTGCACAAGTAGAAACTAGAACACGATGTGCCTCCATTGGAAGGCCAAAAGACCGACAAATTATGTACTAGTGAGGTAGATGACATGCGGGTACGGAGAAATGTTATGTACTAACGGGGTCTATGTACTAACAAATTATGTACTAACCGACAAAATTTGTATGGAAGTGACCACATTTCGTCCGGGACTTGAGATTTCTTATGTACTAACGGGGTTTATGTACTAACCGGACTCGTATTAACGGGAGACGACCTGTAACAGCTTGCAATAAGCAAGTGTGTGTGTGTGTGTGTGTGTGTGTGTGTGTGTGTGTGTGTGGGTGTGGGTGTGGGTGTGTGCGTGTGTGTCTTCTCAGAGTTTGTACTAAGTGAGTGCCACTGTACGTGTGTCCTGTCCATCCCTTCTCGTCCCGTCCCATCACATCGCATCCCATCCTGCCTCTCATGCATCCCACCCATCCCACCTTGCCCCCCCCCCCCCCCCTGCGTGTGTCTGTGTCCATGCACAGGCCGAGACCAACTTCACGTGGACGCAGGCACCCACTGGCTTGTACTACAGCAATTGGAGACCCGGGGAGCCAAACAATGTTCTGGATGAGGACTGCGTCGTCATGGACGTCAATGGCTTCTGGCAGGACATATCCTGCTCACTCGCCTACGGATTCATCTGCGAACGACCAAAAGGTAAACTGTGCATGAGGAGAGAGAGAGAGCTGCAGATACAGTGTCTGTAAACCAACACGGCTGCATGCAGTGCAGGGATGTGCTTACTGCTGTTCCTGAACTACTTCAAAGTAGTGGCGGCTGGGTGTAGGCTGATGTTGTACGTTGCTTTACAGTGAGTGAGGGTGACTTTTGCGTTGGCGCTCACCCATACAAGTGCACTCCAGGGGCAGAAGTTGGCACTTTGACTGGGGCTTGTGTGCAACCTCTCAACACATTTGACCCTGCTCCCAGTAATGTTGTGCACATGATGGAACATAAAGTCATGTTGTCAATGCTGGTGTGCAGTATGGACACAATCTCAGCAGCCTAGCAAGACCATTGGTCAATAGCTACACAACACTATTGCCATATTGGGGGGTTTCTTATCGCAAGTACCTTTTTCCACTGTGACTTATCTATCTTACAGGTGCCAGTCCACCGACACCCATCCCAATCGGCCAGTACACCATCGGTAAGTAGAGGATTTGCAGCTAGTGATGCATGTTTCTGTATGTAAGCCACGCAGGCGGCATAGATCTTGACTCATCGGCGTGTGGATTGTGTTGAATCCGCATTGCTTGTATGCTGCTGCAGTATTATAATTATGCGTTTGCTAACCTGAGTCAGTCACGTGATTGATGTGTGCATGTATGCTACATGCTGGATGGCTTACACATCACTGAAAATGCATCCCTAACTAACAGGATGCTCTCGCAGGGGAGGGCAGGCATGCCTGAAAGCGTGGCTATCACATTTCACAACCATTCACACACTTTCTAATGAGAAGATTGAAACATACACGTACACAATATTTGCTTGCATGGCAACTCTCTGCCGTTGTGTGTTCCTCATGTACACAGAGGGTAGCACAGATTGCGGTCAAGGCAACTGGATGTACTACAAGGGCTTCTGCTACTTGTACAACCCGTCTTACAACAACTTTGACAACTCTCGCAAAGACTGCTTCTCCCAAGGTGCCACGTTGCTGACCATTTACACTCTAGACGAGCGAGGCTATGTGGAGGCTCTGCTGGCAAAACAGTCACGTTTCTACTACAGTGTTCGTATTGCTCTCAATGATATGCTGGATGAAGGCAAATATGCATGGGACGATGGCTCACTGCAAGGAAATCCTCTGAAGGCTGGCATTGCTGTAAGCATTAACGCATGCACCCCCCACCTCCCCCCCCCCCCACACACACACACACACATGCATACAGCTAGGTCTGTGCAATGTTAGTTATACCCAGTTGAAGTGATAAAACATGGCACTTTCCTTTCAATGAGAATAGCGTAACTCCTCTGTATCCTCACCATGATGGTAACTTCCAGGGCATACGGCTGCAATAAATATAATTTTCCTGATGATGCCCTTTTTTGGGAAAAAATTGGAAAGATTTGGAGAGGTATTTTCTTTCTTTTGTGTAGCCAAGAGCTTAGTGCGGAGGTGTGCGACAAACACGCCTTGATTGCCCTTGTTCCGTGTAGACTTACAGTAGATGGTCGGTGTTGGTCTGTGCTTTCAGAGATGGGGTAAAGGACAGCCGAACGACCAGTATCACTTGGAAGACTGTGTGGAGATACAGCGTACCACCTACGCATGGAACGACATGAACTGCAACTACTACCGCCCATACATGTGCAAGAAAGCATCAGGTAAGTTGAACACTGACACCGCTAACAGTTACTCATGATGGGGTTTCCCTAAGTTGTTTGGGTTTTTTTGAAGTTTCCGACAAAGCGTCAATGAATATGGCCATCTAGATTCATTGTGAGATTCTCTGTGAATAGCATTCTCTTGTCTCCCTGTCTGTTTTCACCTGGAATTTTTTTGGAAATGTTTGATGGGAGTACCTGAAAAAATGAATACTCTATTAGTACCCTTGAGAAGGCAGACAAGAAATGTTTACTGGTGACCCCAATCACCTCAATGGATCACACGTGTCATTGCCGCGGCGATTGCATGCATCATTGATCCTTCTCGTGTGCCACATGTAAGAATGTGAAGGTCCTGAGCAGTGTCTTCCCAACACGGGCATAATCAGGTCATCAGGACCGATGAAGGAATTTTGGGAATAATTCGACCTATCGACCTATCGACCTTTGACCTTTCCTAATATGTTGCTTCTTGTTGTAAGAAATCAAATCAAGCGCGCTGTGTCTGTCGTGATGGCTTAATCTTGCCCTTGTCTGCAGCCCTCGGGTCTACGGCCCTGGGCTGCAGGCTCCGGCAAGACTAATTATTGTGACCACCTGAGCACGCTTGATCACATGCATCTTGAAACCCGGCTGCCTATTGTAAAGCAACCAACTTACTAGGCTCACTGCTACCGCTGTGTCTGTTCATTACATTCATGTACAGTTGATGGTGCAACAAACTCAACAGTCTGGCCTCCCATTCCATGTAAGTGGCTAGGCATGCGATGTGCAACCCGTGATGCAGCATTCATGCATCCGTATATTGAGCTGGGCATGCGATGTGTAACATGCATTCATGCATCCTTATATTGAGGGTAGTTCAATGTTTATCGAATGGCAATACGTATCTAGTATTGACTGAGTACGAGGTCAATATAGGAAATAAAAGCCGAGTGAAAGACCGAGGCCTTTTACGAGGTTATATTTCCTATACTGACCAAGTACGAAGTAAATATTAGACTTTATATCACGACTAGCCAAGGCCTGTGTTCAGTCCCTAAAAAGGAGTCAAATATAAGCAGTCAAAATAGCTCTAAGGAGTGAAATATGCAGGGATATTTGACTGCTTAGGTATAGCAAAAATGTACGGGAGTCAATACTAAGGGAGTGATAAATGCAAGTATCTATTCGGAGACCTCCTCTGTGGCTTGACACAGGAGGCCTCTAACGCCCATTGGCTCCCCGGTCAGATCTTTTTTGGCTATGGTCTACATTCAACTTTACCCTTGCCTTGCAGCCTATGCTGAATGCAAACATGACCGGTCTCACCGTGACTTACCACAATGATTGTACCGGAGCATAGCCGACTATTTCAGGCTAATAGTACCGGCTGCATGCTCTACTCGGCGTGTGAACAATCACGTGGTATGCAGCGGGCGAGAGAGCATACAGGTGTGGGCACTGTCTTTGCTGGTCGTGTTTGCATGCATGAAACATCTCTACGCGGTTAGTACATTGGTACGGGATACATAGCGGATAGTGGCAGATGGTATGGTGTTGGATTATATATTTGGTGTCGTGTAACACGTTATCTGCGTGTGTGTGTGTGTGTGTGTACGCGCGCGCGCGCTCGTGTGTGTATATGTGTATATGTGTGTGCACGTGCATGTGCGGTGTACCATTTGGATGCATTCAGTGCAGAGCAAGTGTCCATCGCAGGCCACGTCGTTCCACCATCCCAACGGTGCTGTGTACTGCTTCACCGCCTATGGCAGGTCCAGTAGCCAGCGACTGACCTGGTCTGGAGCCAGAACAGCGTGTCGTCGTCTCGGCTCAACCATCGACCTGGCCAGCATCCACGACCATCTGGAGATGAATACCATCACGACTATGGTCAAGGGCTTGAGATACAGTACCAATCGTTTCTGGCTGGGCATCAATGATATGAATCACGAGGGAGGCTATGTGTGAGTCTAACTTCTCAGTGCTGGTGCTGCTCCTCAGTTTACTTGCTGTTGCCTTACAAGCCAGAACAATGCACCAAATGTTGTTCGGAAAATTAGGTTCTCTCGCTCACCTCCTGTTGGGCTCCTGTAAGAGGTCCAATGGCCTCTGAGATGCACCAGAGAAAAGAGAAAGGTGGACTAGATGCGTACACAATTACCTGCTCAATATTCTTTACAGGACATACTTCTGTTCTGTTCTATCCTGATTTTCACCGTACTCTATCACCCATGAAAATACCGACTGCTTCGTTGTATTAAAAGGGCAAAAAGGAAATTCGAACATTCACATGTTTACTAACGAACAGAATGGCAGCTGGATGCGCTTCATGAGTTTGAACTCTATCCGTAGACTTTGAAATATAACACCAGCCCTGCCGTAAATGTACATCAAAAATCAGCAGAAGCTGGGGAATTCCTGGTCAAAAAGTGTATCCCGGAATGAATCTCAGACTGAAGCTGCATAGATCTACACCATGTCCGGCAATATTTTTTAATGGAATGCATGTGATAATATTGATGCCGGAAAACAGATATGATGGTATATAGAAGTGGATCTATTATACGCTGTGCCCTGAAAAAAATGTTCATTTCAGTTTATGAGGTTGCGCTAAAGAACGTCCAACTTGGAAACTGGAGATTTTTTCGACACCTGCATACAACACGTCTCTTCTTTTGTGCTGCACCGTTGTTGTTGCTGCTGCTGCTGTTTCCATTGCCATTGCCATTGTCGTTGTTGTCGTCGTTGTTGTTGTTGTTGTTGTTGTTGTTGTTGTTGTTGTTGTTGTTGTTGTTGTTGTTGTTGTTGTTGTTGTTGTTGTTGTTGTTGTTGTTGTTTTTATTGTTGCATTCAGTTGGTCGGACAACACACCCACTGACTACATCCACTGGGACAACAACCAGCCGGACAACTATCGTGGTACTGAAGACTGTGGTGAGCTGTGGAACATCAACACAGGACGCTGGAATGATGCCAACTGCAACGGAAAGAAGGCCTACATCTGCAAGCAAGTGCTATGTAAGTCACACGTATCTCCACCTGGATGTACATGCATGATGTGATGGTGTACTTAGGTCTGAAGTGTTGCCGCTCCATTTCAGGGCAGCTGGCGTGTTTTGTTCTCGCCAGCCAAACACACCCAATCTTGATGATAAGCTGTGCATTTGTGTAAATGCTCTTCCTTTTCTCATTTGCATAGCGCCACCACCAACACAAGCCGCCCCTCCAAATGTCCGTAAGTGGCAATTATCTCGACCAATACTGTCTTTTTACCTGTCGTCTCGACTCACAACTGCATGCCTGATTTGGATGCATTCTCTGCCAGTGGGTTCGAGAGAAGAGAGGAGAGAGAGAGAGAGAATGAGAGAGAGAGAGAGAATGCGAGACAGAGAGAGAGAGAATGCGAGAGAGAGAGAGAGAGAATGCGAGCGAGAGAGAGAGAGAGAGAATGAGAGAGAGAGAATGAGAGACAGAGAGATACGTGAAAGAAGATGCCTTTATTACACCATTGTATTGTTGTTCAAGCATGTTGGTTTGGATTATAAGTAGCCAATTGCTGCCTCGAGTGTGAATATTGGATGCATACAATGTTTGGATGCACACATACTGCAGTTACATGAAAATAGTGATGTTATCTACTGCAGATGGATAATCACAGCTTCAGACCAGGACATTTAGGGAGTACCTTTTTCCACTGTGTTGTCACGGGTAATCTAGCATCACTCTTAACTGTTATGTATCATGGTGTGCCTCTTTGCTTTTCCGTGCAGAGGGCAAGTATTGTCCGGCTGGATGGGCTAGCTACGGTAGCTACTGCTACCAGGTTGTCGCTCAATCAGGCATGGCCAAGACTCGCCTTGATGCCCTGCACGCATGCCAACAGATGGGAACCAACTCGTCACTGGCCAGCTTCCACAGTGCGGCTGAACTGGGCTTTGTCGTCGCCCAGTTTGGCAATCAGAATGCCAGTGGCCGGGTGCACATCGGCATCAGCGATGTTCAGGTGAGAAGAGAAACAAGCTGCTGAGATTCAGACCTGTGTGTTACTATTATCATAATTTCATCGGCACATAACATGACTAGTGCAAGGAATTGAGAGTGACAAACCAACCACGGGGAGAAAAAGAAGAAGAAGAAGAAGAAAAAAAAGGAAGAAGAACAAGAGAAACCAGTTGACTCCAGCGAGACAGTGGTCAACCTATTTCACATCACGCAGTGCATTCTTAGAATCTGAGATAGAAGTCGCAGTGTCATAGGTTATACGGAAGGGAGAGCCAATGAGAGTAGGCAAGAAACAGGGGAGATCGGAGAAGAACAGATAAACGAGGAACGGGGAGCGAGACCTGGTTAATTAAGGGTTGCAGTGCTGTTGGAGTGCTGTAAAGTCACCTCGGTATAAACCGGACTGCTAGGACTGATGGCGGATTTCACATGGCTGTAAAGGCTGTCATAGCATATACATTCACAGATCTTAGAGATACAGGATAGTGCAGTGATGCTGGTGTACACTAGTACTAGTGTTGCTGCTACTAGCTTCAGACCTGTGTATCCGCAGTCGGGGAGATGTCCTATCTAGGACATCGCACTCTGATTGGTCACCTGTCCCAGGGTTGTCATGGAAGCATCGATCGCGCTCACACGATGAAAAGAAGTGCTGCGCGAGCATTTCTGAATGTATGTGGAGGATGCATGATTGTAATGGCGATGGTTGTCTTTGCAAATTGGTCAAGTTTGAGGGAATAGGCGAAGAATATCGGAAATCGGCAGGGATTGAGGTATTGTATATTCGATTCGCCATCGCATACCCGACCGAATGGCCGTTTTCGTTTGGGGATTTCATGTGGGGTTTCTCGTAGCCGCGCGGCGCTTCGTTGGAAACGATTGCCGGATTTTTCTAATTTTGAATGTTTTGTCTTTGGAATGTTTCTTCGTGCCCCGTGCGTTCATTTCGCCCCAAACCTGGCCATGCAGAGGAGGAAGACGAGGCAGCAGGCGCTAGGCCCGTAAATTACTGCCTGGAAGATATTATTTGGCCTTAGCTTGCTGTTGGCATTTTTTTGATTTCTTGGATACGACAGCTCTTGGCTAAAACTGGGCCTTGGACGGTCTTTCTTGGACATCAACCCAGGACGTGCCCCATTCGGCGTGGTGGTCATGGGCGTATTGCCGTCGCTTTCAGCCAGACCCTTCTGCTACCTGAAACCAATGGCGAAAGTAAAAACTTCATCGCAGCAGCAGCTGCTCTTCTCTCTACTCTTCATCTTAAGAACGTTTCTCTTCTCCATTCCTTCTTTCTTGTACTTCTTTAAATTTATCTAAATTGATATGATTGATAATATAAAGGATTCTCCGGAGGCAAATGGATGCCTATCAAAGGGAGTCTCCTGGGGAAAGGAAGTGAAGGCGGCTGCTATAAGAGAGGGAAGAAGGGACATGTCAAGGTGAAAAAATAGAAAAAATACAAACAGGAACAGCAGAAGCTACTTGCAAGAATTCGGTAGACCTTGTACAGAATAGTTGTGGTGCAGATGCTGTCCATGACCTCTATGAGGTCGGTCCTCTTTTCGCGCATGTGTTCTGTGTGCGCTGTGTCCGCGTGGGCGGCGTGCGAACTGTGCGCGGGCTGCGCAAGTTGCGCCGCAGAGTGCATGGGCACTTTATTTATGTGTACTTGGGCAACAGAATTGTGTCGCTAAGCTCAATCTGTCGTTATATGCAAGGTCGTATGATCCGATCTCCACTGTAGTAGCTTCAGACCTGCGTGTAGTGTAGTGCAGCTGGTGCACACTAGTGCACACTAGTACTAGTGGCTTCAGACCTGTATGTAGTGTAGTGCAGCTAACACTGTCACATTCTGTACCATTAACATTAATCGGGGAATAACTGGTGTGGGCCAGGAGATCTTTACCGTCTACTATGGACTTCATTCTCATAGGTGCTGTTTTGGCTACTTCCCAAATGGTTTGCAGAATGTGATATGGCATGCACATTCGTACTTCAGAAGTACTTTGAAGTAGGATCGATTGTGTTAGCAGTACTGGACAGGCAACAGTGTAGACTACTGATCCTGGACTACAGGGTAAAATCACAACTGGTTGTTTACCCGCTTGATTATCGCACTGTGCACTGTTAGGTGGAGGGTGAATTCCGCTGGGACGATGGATCGCTGGTGACCTACACCAACTGGCATACAAACGAGCCAAACAACTACCACGGCCGCGAGGACTGTGTCGAGCTTGACTACATCTATGGCTGGTGGAACGATATTCCCTGCTCTGCCAAGCGTGGATACGTCTGCAAGATGCCAAAGAGTAAGTCATACGTACAGCAGGCGGTGCTATTTTTTCTTCTTCTTTTTCTACAAATCCACATATCTCCAGACACTGGGGTGGATAACGGGGTGTGGTGGTGGGGCCCATTAAGCTCCGCCGACCAGAGGTCTCGGCTTCATAGCTCGATGGTGTATAGACTGGCATTCACTGTTCACATCTTTGTCATGTGATTACATTAGTGTAGAAAGCGATCAAGTCATGTGGACAGTGAAACCACCTGGCTGCGTACACAGGCCTGTCTGTCATGCAGTGATGCACACTTTGGGTACAGGTAACGGCAAGTTGAACATTTTGGTGCTCTGTATGTGTGCTTGCTCGTATTCGTTCTGCTGGTCTTCTTTGTTTGCCCTTGTCTCTTTTCACACAGCACTATTTGTATAATGTGCATGTTTGTGTGTGTGCGTGTGCGTGTGCCCGCACGTGTGTGTGTATGGGTATGTGTGTGTGTATGTGTGTATGCATGTGTATGTGTGTATATGTGTGTTCTCTTCTCTGTTGCGCTGTATTGCTTCGTGCTGCTCCCACTGCAGACAGTCCAACACAGCCAACTGGTGAGTGACATAATGTTTCTTGTTCTAATCCTGTGTTATCTGTACGGCATATGACAACACGTTTGTATTGTTAGACCCATGCATTGAGCCCCTCCCTATAGAGGTTGTGCGAATGATGTCATAGTGGTGTGAATGATGTCATAGTGGTGTGAATGATGTCATAGCGGTGTGAATGATGTCATAGCGGTGTGAATGATGTCATAGCGGTGTGAATGATGTCATAGTGGTGAGTCAGCGGAACCGCTTACCCTTTGGGCGCTATGTATGCAATGTGACGCTGTGCCGTGACTTTGCCAAAGCACCTCGACTGACGATGTAATTGCATAACCTCCATATATAGGCTACGTGTCCGAAGGGACTGTGAGAATAGTCATAACATGCACTTTCAACCATGCACATCTGTCTGGAAAGCCCTAAGCTTGTTTAGTGCGGTGATGATTAGCAACGTTACCAAGCATGCCACGTAGAGCACTGGAGACATTGCACCTTTTGATAAGTGGATTGTGATCGGTCGTGAACCGACCCTTCCCTAGTTCTATTTCCAAGTCAAACCGAAATAGTACTGGCGTTGATGGCAGTTGTGCGCGGAGTGGTTGTGCCGGCGTGTGTGTGTGTGTGTGTGTGTGTGTGTGTGTGTGTGTGTGTGTGTGTGTGCGTGTGTGTGTGTGCATGCATGTGTGTGTGTGTCCGTGTGTCCGTGTGTGTCCGTGTGTCCGTGTGTTTGCTGTGTCTAATCCACCACAGTTTACCTGACTGCTATTGTTTAAGGGGTTGGTGATACAGATGAATGATTTGAAGCGATACACGATACACTAACAAGAGGAGCCCTACCTGCGGCTTCTTGCTCGAACAATATACACGTTGTATTGCGTAGGTGAGATTTGAATGCAGTTATAGAACACAGTCAGACGAGCATTGTAGAGGGTATGTGGCAGCAGGGTGACATTAGACTCATCACTTGTTCTGGTCTGTGCACTGCGTGTAACTACAGGCCCAGTAAGCAACTGCCCGTCAGGGTCCACCTCGTACAACGGAAGGTGCTACAGTGTGGCGACCACTCCTGTCACATACAGCGATGCTGACACTGCTTGTAAGGCTAAGACGAATAAGGCCGGCCTTAAAGGTAGCCTTGTAACTATTCAGAGTCGCTACTACCAGTTTATCGTCACCAGTGTGGTGCAAGGACAGGTACCGAACGGCGGTCGACAGGAGTACTGGATTGGTCTGAACGACATCAAGACCGAAGGCATGTACGTGTGGCAGAGCGGTGCACCCATCACCTACTCCAACTGGGACTCTCATCAACCGGACGACTGGAGACACACAGAGGACTGTGCGGCGTGGAGGTCCTGGTCCAACAAGTGGAATGACTTGTCCTGCACTAGCAAGAAACCGTACATTTGTGAAGTACCAGACGGTGAGTGCCAGAGTGGGATTGCCTAGGTTTCCTTATTAAGCAATGCAGAGTGCTAGCTGATCAAAAGCTCCAGGTATACGTACGTGCACGTGTGTGTGGGTACGCGCGCAGTGGTGGGGGGTGCGTGCATGGGTGGTGACTTCACGTTCATGCCTGCCCAGCCATGATGCATGCTGGAGCTTGCCCCTTCCAGGCATCGAGTCACGCACACCGCAATGCTATCAGTCAGTCTTGACCTAGACATATTCATGGAGATTCAATGATTGCAAACTAGTAATGAATGTGGAGTATGATGTGGAGTATGATGTGGAGTATGATGTGGAGTATGATGTGGAGTATGATGTGGAGTATGATGTGGAGTATGATGTGGAGTATGATGTGGAATAGTAAGTACATGACTGTATTGTGTATACATACATGACTTTGTACATGACTTTGTACATGACTTTGTACATGACTTTGTACATGACTTTGTACATGACTTTGTACATGACTTTGTACATGACTTTGTACATGACTTTGTACATGACTTTGTACATGACTTTGTACATGACTTTGTACATTTTTTTTTTACGGGGTAACGGCCTCTTTTACGGGCAAAATAAAGTCATGTAGACGTGAAAAAAAATTGAGATACCATGAAAGTTAAAATAGAATTTTATTCAAGTACAATACATTGGGAAACTCCAAGAAATTCCACGTAAAACGGACGGAATTCAGTTTTCAATGGCCGATGCCTACCCCAGCACCATCCTGCGTCGACAGGCCTGTCAGGCGCCTTCTAGACCCGCGTAGCCGGAGGTCGACTGCATGGATCACAGCAAATTGGCTGCGAACTCGCACCCAAGCCATGATGATAGAAAATGGCTTGTCCCACTTGAGGGCGAGGCGACCAGCAAGTCGCTTCTGATAGCTGGCGTATTCGCGATGTAGCACCCCATCCGTGGAACAAACCAGTGGTGTGAACGACCCACGGAGGTCCTCGGAGGCCTGACGATACTTCTTTTTCTTCGCGTTAGCAGCGCGGTTGGAAGTAGCTTCCCAGGATGAATGGGAGTAACTGGGTGCGTTGGCATCAATGATGCGATTATCAAAAAACTTTGTACATGACTTTGTACATGACTTTGTACATGACTTTGTACATGACTTTGTACATGACTTTGTACATGACTTTGTACATGACTTTGTACATGACTTTGTACATGACTTTGTACATGACTTTGTACATGACTTTGTACATGACTTTGTACATGACTTTGTACATGACTTTGTACATGACTTTGTACATGACTTTGTACATGACTTTGTACATGACTTTGTACATGACTTTGTACATGACTTTGTACATGACTTTGTACATGACTTTGTACATGACTTTGTACATGACTTTGTACATGACTTTGTACATGACTTTGTACATGACTTTGTACATGACTTTGTACATGTATGTGGTTTGTTGTGTGATTATCCAGACACAATTACATCACTACCACCGATCCCGACACCAATGCCAGGAAATCGTAAGTTGAACATTAATGCCCTGAAGTGTAGCCAAGTGTGTGTGTGTGTGTGTGTGTGTGTGTGTGTGCGCGTGCGTGTGTGCGTGTGTGTGCGTGTGTGTGTGACACGCGGCCCCGCGATGGACCCAAGCGTCGTTGGAGAGATGTGGCAGCTTCAGACCTGCGTGCGACCGGTATCCCGGAGGCGCATTGGTACCACCTTGCTCAGGACCGGAGGGACTGGCGCGAACGTAGCCGTCGGAGGCCACCAAGCCAGCCCCAACCAAGAGTGTTCGTCTGTGTCTGCGGCCGCGACTTTCGCCGTCCGAATGATTTATCCCGACACAAGAACTACTGCCTCGCCTAATAGCTATCATCGCCTTCGGCGATGGGCTTTCCAAAGGTCCAAAGGTGTAACTTGTTATGTGTGTGTGTGTTCGCGTGTACGTGTGTGTGTATGTGGAAATGGTTTTGTTGGTTATCAGGAGTTATCTGTGAATTTTGCTTTTCAAAGTCTAGGGTGGCTGTACTAGGCATGTGAGTAGCCTACAGATAAAAGTGCCAGTTCTATTACAGGTGAGACGTGCTGCTCAACATAATTTTGTTGAGTAAAATTATTGACTCAAACTTCAACCACATGATCACTGAATTAAGTTTTTGGTGCGTTGCAGCAAAAAGAGACATAAGGGGCCGTCCGTAATTACATGTTTTTACTTAGAGACGTCTAAGAGGCGTTTCTGGTGGGTGGGTTCGCCTGCAAGGCGTTTCCAAAAAATACATTTCGGAGTGCATGCATGCATACCGCGCGTGTATGTACTGTAAGACATGTATGTATAACGAGGAAGTAAATCTAACGCTTTAACGGATGACATTTCTTCGTTATAATAAGATCCGTTGAGGCCATGTTGTGTGTGGATATGCCGGAATACTGCAAGGTCGTTAAACATATCTTCTCGTTAACCTATGAATTTTGGACAATCGTTAAATTTGCGACTCGTTATAATAACATGTCTTACAGTACATGATGTAGCACTGCTACAGCTAGTACTAGACCTACAGCTAGTACTAGACCTACAGCTAGTACTAGACCTACAGCTAGTACTAGACCTACAGGTAGTACTAGACCTACAGGTAGTACTAGACCTACAGGTAGGCGTTGAGACGCACTCAGTCTACGCTGCACTGCATGCACGGGTTACTGCAGAGTGGCCAGGGAACACAGGGAGACCGTTCGCTAGCTACACGTACAATCATGGTATTATAAAGGGTCAATTTTAGTATGGGTTCAAACAGGGACATGGACAAGGGTTCGCTGATACCAGTAATAGCTACATGTTTATCACTAAATTCGCTATATGCGAGTTCGTTATAAGTGGAGTCGTCTATACTGTATATGTGTGCATAGTATAGTGGTTATTATGAGTGGTATTTTCTGCATGTTTGAGGGGCGTTCTGGGGATGGGAGGGTGGGTCAAGAAAGAAACGCCTCTTAGACGTCTCTAAGTAAATACATGTACATGTATTTACGGACGGCCCCTAAGCCCCTTCCCTCACAGCCAAGTCAACAAAACAAGGCGTCTTTTGGATTCAGGAGTGCTAGTTTTGAAACACCTGGTTTGCTCAAAGTAAAGCTGATGTTACCTCAAAGTAGAGCTGCACCAAATAGGTAGAAAACATCAGTCTGCGTGTGTGTGTGTGTGTGTGTGTGTGTGTGTTTGTGTGTCTCTCTCTCTCTCTCTGTGTTTCTCTATATCTGTCTGCCTGTCTTCTCTCTGCTGTATCCATTGTTTGTGATATACAGCACAAGGCAGTTGTCAGCCAGGCTGGCACAAGCACGGTGGCTTCTGCTACGCATTCTTCGGCTCTCTGACTTCGGACGCGATGTCGTACTTCCCATCCTTGATCTTCCCAGCCACATGGACCAATGCCTACTCCACTTGTCAGCAGATGGGCACAACACTGGCTTCAATTCCCGACAACGCCACACAATGGTTCATCTTGAACCACATCAAGGCAGGCGATGAGAAGACCTGGTACAGCTGGTGGACGGGCCTGAATGACCGTGGAATGGAGGGTGGCTACTCATGGGTCGATGGCAGTGCGCTGGGCTTCACAAACTGGGCTCTTGGCGAGCCAAACGACATGAGCGGTGCTGAGGACTGTGTGGAGAATGTCATTTATCAAGGCTGGAAGGGCTTCACCAATAAGTGGAATGACCAGAGCTGCAAGTCCACCAGGACCTACCTGTGTCAGGCAGTTGCAGGTATGATTGCTTGCTGCTCATCTCACAGCTATACACTGCTGCCGTAGGCTGGTGTCTACATGCATGTGTGGGAAGATGCATGAAGGGTGGAATACATGACTGTTTAGTGTGTGTGTGTATGTGGGGGGGGGGGGGGTGCTTGCGTGCGTGCGTGTGTGTGTGTGGGGGGGGGGGCTTGTGTGCGTGCATGTCTGTGTGCGTGCATGTGTTTGTGTGTGTGTTGTGCTAGCTTGGCAATGGCCCCCTTGTACAAATAACAATACAAGTCACAGATCCTGTCAATTGCTCTACTTTATTTTATTTTATTTTTATTCTATTTTATTTCACCGTCCAATGGCAGAAGCCAATGCAAAGGAGGGGGCGTTAGCCAGCCATGGCAAGAGAAGGAAAAGACTTGTCTTGTGGCGTCCTTGTACACCAAAGAAGTAGCAACCAACACATTGCTCAAGGTTGTGAGCACAACCTCAGTGTTCAGTGTCAGTTTCATTGGAGGGCAGATTCCATTGAACAGGACTGTATTTTAGCATTGACCTATATTGTGGTCTGTATGCCGTGCGGTGTGTATGTGTGTGTGTGTGTGTGTGTGTGTGTGTGTGTGTACGTGTGTGTGTGTGTGTGTGTGTACGTGTGTCCCATATGGTGCAGTGGTATGTGCAGTCGATTTCCAATCGAGAGGTTGCGGGTTCAATTCCCGACGATTATGGTCGCACACGTCTTTCTTCTCTTTCTCATTCTCCTAGCTCTTCTTTCATTCTCCTGGGTGGTTACCAACAGCCAGTGTATGCCGGAGTATGTGGTGTGGTGTGTGTGTGTGTGTCGAAAAGAAAAAATGGAAAAATGGAAAAAAGGGATTCACTGGCCAGAAAAAGTCACTTCAAACAGCTGTGTGGTGGATACCAGGCTAAAATAGTGGCGGTCAATTCATCAGCCTTGCAAGCTGTTGAATGGTGCAATCCCAGCGCAAGTTGCTATGTCTAACATAGCTGTTCGCTATCATCGCTTCCGCGATGGGCAGATCTGAGATCTGAGGTGTACATGTGTGTACGTGTATGTGCGCATTTCCTCACAATTATCCAGGATCAATACCCAAGACGTTGCCGACCCCGACTGCATCCCCAGTGCCAGCAAGTAAGTGCAGTAGTTCATGGAGCAACTACACCACACACAGCAAGAGTACATGAAACCAAAACTGTGCAGCTTGTGACTTTTCTGTGTGGGTGTTTGTCACAGGGGAAATCCCTGGATTGCATCATACTTGGTGCAGATCTGTGGCAGAAGTGGCTCAGTCCGTACCATTGAGCTGCAGTTGTGCAGCAGGAGACCTGCTGGAATGCTGCTTGTACGCACTACGTGTTGCAAAAGAAGGATCCACATGCGGGATTCGAACCCAGCACCCCTGTCTTTCCGGGACAGTGCCCTACCGATTAGGCTACCGGGGATCACACACACTCATGCCATGTCATTCTTACTACATGCGTCACCAAAATGATGTAAATGCAGGAATTTTGCCGGGACAGCAACCTATTCGAGCTGCACTCTCTTGCCAGTTCTTGGCTTCATGTGCTCTTGTACGCATCATCATCACCGAATTGTGCTGCTGTCTTGTCATCGCCATTGGCGCTCTGAGCATTGCCATGGTTACCTGATTGCAGGCACTGGTGTAACCATGGCAACTGTACTGCAGTCAGACTATCACTCTGCGCCATGCAATACACGGCCCAGTGCTCACAGAGTGTCGCTTGATGTCCGTACTGTACATTGCTCGTGCAGATTATTACCAGCTTCCGGCGTGTCCAACGGGCTATATCACAACGGCAAGCAGCTGCTACTGGCTGAGCGACTGGAGCCAGAATGTGTCCTACAGCAACGCACGGTCGGCCTGCCGTACCCAAGTGGCGTTGGACTTGAAGAAGAACCAGCAGCTCGGCCAGTACAGCATCAGAGGTGACCTTGCCAGTGTCCACTCCTCACTTGACCTGATTGCGCTGGCTCAGGCGATGAAAGTAAAAGAAGCCGGCTCGGTTCAAACCGGCTGGTGGATTGGACTGAACGACATCCAGAAGGAAGGCATCTTCACGTGGACAGACAGCACACCGGTGGACTTCTTAGCCTGGGCCGAGAACCAGCCTGACAACTGGAGGGTCACCAATGGAGAAGACTGCGGGACCATTTACTCTAGATACACGTACCTCTTCAACGACATGTCGTGCAGCAACGAGAACGCATATGTCTGCGGATTCAGCAGATGTAAGTCATTAGGGCCATCTTCATACAATACATCCATATCTAACAGAACTTAGAATGGTGACATCATCTTCCGAGGGTGATTACACCACCTCTCATGGGTGATGAATTGATGACGTCACCATGCAAGACCCCAATGTTGTGTGATGATTGTATGACAAAGTTTAACAGCAGTCAGCTGACTATGTTCTGCAGGAAGAACATCATGTTACTTTGTCGTTGCCAGGTGTCCGTGTAAGTCTGGGCAACCACGCACAAGCACGTTGTGATCAAATTTATAGAGCCCTGTCCTAATTTTGTTCTACGACCAAGAGTAGTAGCCTTTGAAGCATGTCCTCTATTCCCATGTCGCCAAAACCTGTCAAAACATGTAGTGGCCGTCTAACATGACTGATCATGTACAGCCACTTGTAATGTGTGTGTGTGTGTGTTTGTGTGTGTGTGTTTGTGTGTGTGTGTGTGTGTGTGTGTGTGTGTGTGTGTGTGTGTGTGCGCGCGTGCGCGCACAGATATCAATGAGAGCAACGTACCAACCACCATGAACCCAGTCTACAAGAGTAAGCAACATCTCATGCTCGTAGATTAAGACAACTCTAAGGAAGCAATATTTCAAACACATGGACTTGCTTTACTCCTTCATTGATCAACCATATTCAGTATTTTCACCAAAGCTCGATCGATTACTATTATCACTCTCACAGAAGACTACAGACTGCATACTACTCAATCTCCGACCCGAGAACCAGTTCTGCTATTCTGTATGTTCCTGTTCCAGAGCTCTTCTGCAATCCAGGCTGGACTAAGTGGCACGGCAAGTGCTATCATGCGTACACTGCCATCCGTATGGTCTGGGACGATGCACAGTTCAACTGCTCACTGGGTGGAGGCACTCTGCTAGTTGTCAACTCGCCTGCCGAGCAGAAGTTTGTCACATCCCAGTAAGGAAATAAGACGTGTGTGTGTCTGTGTGTGTGTGTGTGTGTGTGTGTGTGTGTGTGTGTGTGTGTGTACGTCCGGCACTGTGATCTATGCCTAGTCCCGGTTACCAGGTATATAATCTGATCTCTTCATTTGCCTTCTACTGCTTGGTGTAGGATCACCAAGGGTCTGGAGTACTTCTGGGTGGGAATGAATGACAAGGACCGTGAAGGTGTCTACAGATGGGTGGATGGATCTCACACAGGTTACACAAGATGGGGTCCCGCACAGCCAAACAACTACAACAACGAGGACTGCGTCGCCATCAGCGCCTCCGACAGCATGTGGTACGACCGAGACTGCAACAGTCCCTACGCGTTCATCTGCGAAGTGCCCCTTGTCGCCAGTAAGTGTTCTTGTGATGCGCCACGTTTTCTCATTCTCCGGTGGCATCATAATTTTAAAAGGGTGTAGAGTGATGTTTTCCATCACGCCATGGCTCGTCATTTTCTCTCTGTGCATATCTGCATTTCCTCTTTGCTTGATGTGTATTTCGTACAATCCCATGTGTACTCTTTTTCGCTCCATTCCTGAAGCACTGGTGTGCTCCGGAATTACTGACTCTCCCTCTTCTCTTTCTGTCCGTGTGTGTGTGTGTCTGTCACTCCCTCCCTCTCTGCTTCCAACTGTCTGTCCGTTTGTCTGCTGGTTACTTGTATTCTTAGTGAACTACACGACCATGCCAATGCCCACAACCACACCGATGCCCACGACTACAAAGATGCCCCCAACCACACCCATGCCCACAACACAGACCATGATGACCACGCATGCCAACGTCTGGACCTCGGCAGCAGGAAACCCAACGGGCAGCAAGATGATGCCGAGCGCTAGCACACACGGTGGCCAAGTAACTGCTGCTTCCGGCAACCCACACACTGGCGTTCATCCCAGCAAGAGCAGTAAGTGCAGCATCAATGCAATTCATGTACTTTATGTGTGCTACTACTGTTTACCACTCTACACGTACAGTCAAACCTGTCAAGGCGACCCCTCGGAGAAAGCGACCACCTGTCCTAGAAGACCACTGGAGCCAGGACCAAGGGATGCTATTTCCAGTCAAATGACCCTGGAAAAGGAGACCACCTGGTAAAAGAGTCCAGATTTTGAAGGTTCCCTGAGCGGTCGTCTTAGACAGCCTCGGGTTTCACTGTTGTTGTCATAGGGTTCTAGTATCAGGGTACATTATACCAGAGTGTGCAACTCAGCACAATTGCTGCATCAAACCAGGCCAGGCCAAGTCAAGTCAAAGTTGGTTGTTAGCGTCATCATGGATCGCTGGAGTTCCTCTCATGCACAGCATAAGCTTAATCATGAGCAACCACAACCTCAACAAAACACGTCACTGTTGAGTCCTTTTGCAAAAGTGGCATATGCACACCCTGCTGTGTGCACTCTTTCTTTTTCCACCTTGTCATGTCCCTTCCTCCCTCTCTCATAACAACCACTTTCACTTCCTTTCCCCGGGAGACTCCCTTTGATAGGCATCCATTTGCCTCTGGAGAATCCTTGAACATATAACATCAATCAATCAATCAATCTTGCACACACTGATCAGTGTAGTATACTTCAGAGGAACTTCTAGGAGCTATGCTAATAAAGTATTGTGTACTTTAGGCTCTTCCGTAAGCAGGAAGTCCATGTTGCGCTCAGCTGTGACACACAGTGTTTTAAAAGCAGCTACAAAACCCTGTGAATATGCTATGGTGTCACTCGTTGACTGACGTAAGTGCATGTGTACGTGTGTGTTTGTGTGTGTGTGTGTACGTGTGTGCCCGCAGCTAACAATCACCTCCCTAGAGGCCCGGCACAGCAGACGGGCGGCATGAGCGCAGGGGCCGCAGCTGGAATCGCCATTGGTGGTTTGCTGGCTGTCATCGGAGCAGCTGTCCTCGTCTTCTTCCTCGTCCGTCGCCGCCGTAGAGCCCATGCTGGCCGCATGTCCTTCAGAACACTGCGCACCTCACCCAAAGCAACCAATGATGATGACGACGACGACGATGATGCTCTGCTTGATGACTAGGCAGTATCCACGATCAAGAACCAACCAGGACAAGCGGTCAGATAGTCGCGTTGTTTCTTGTTTGTCTATCGCTCAATGCCTTCATCTGGTACTCCTATCCTTCTTTATTTCAGTTTACTCTGCTCCTTCATTCTCCAGTCAGTCTGCTCACATACCCTTTTTGGCATCCAGGCTCCAAGCTAGCCTGTGTGAGCGGCAACGCATACACGTCACAGAATTCACCAAATCCCTTTCTATATCTTGCTCCTAGATCTCTCTTTTATGTCCTGCCAAGCTTCAGGAAAGCTATTTTAACGCTGAGCGTTTTGTCTATTTCATTATATTTTTATCGAAGCATTTTATTGAAACACATGTTTATTGAAGCAGATGGATGCAAATGCCTCTTTGGGTAATTTAGCACAACTTTCCGAGCAACATACACCTAACTAAGCACGCTGGCGTTCACAATATTTTCATTCTACTTTCAATCAGTATGGTAATGTACACGTGTACATGTTATTGTGTTGACCTATCAAGTATGTCATGCTGTGTGTGTGTGTGTGTGTGTGTGTGTGTGTGTGTGTGTGTGTGTGTGTGTGTGTGTGTGTGTGTGTGTGTATGCGTGTGTGTGTGTTGAAAATAATTCATAACGGGCGAGACAGAACAGTGAAAAGGCTCCAGCTAGTCCAGTCTGACGACACACATCGTCTTAGGCTTTCATAGGTCACAGTTCGGTTTTCACATGCATACTTGTCCAGATGTGTGTGTATGCAGGCTAGCTGTGCTGGAGGCTATCCAGGCTAGCTATGCTGGAGGCTATCCAGGCTAGCTATGCTGGAGGCTATGCTGTCTTATATGGCTCACATGATCAGTAAACGATAGGTAAGTAAGTTGGCACATGCCTTTAAAACGATTGGACACAAAAGCGACATAACCTCGCTTCGTATTTCTACAGCACTTACTTATACGAGCAGCAGCAGCAACAGCAACAGCAGCAGTGGTGGCAGCAGCAGAAGCAGCAGCATAAACATGATGAAGTAAAACGGTGTTAAGCAAAGCCCTCAGTGAAAGATACGGGTGCACACGCGTGTGTGTTTCATGTAAGGTGGTGAGCAGCTTGTGGCAATTTGTACGACAAGGATGGGACTTTGGCAGAGTGAGCTACAGCATAGGAGAGGGCATGGTGGCCACACCAGTTCAGCGATATACATATGATACTGATCACCACTGCAACATGTGGACATCAACATTATGCTAGAAGAGAGTGGTTCACTGACCCTAACCTCACACTGACTGTCACCACTATCTGTAACAGCTACAGTACATCAACACGTACAGGTGGTACTCAAGTAGTTCAACTGGTCAGTGCATAGTTGGCATCGGCTTGTGGCGGTCGCTGCAGCGCATGTGCCAGGAGAATGGTGACGTTCTCCAATAACCTAGTCATACTGGTCGACACTTCCAGGACATACGCCTTCTCAGTCTCATCCAGCTGACATAGAGCAGTGTAAACATCCTTTTACAATAGACAGACAGAGAGAGAGACAGAGAGACAGAGAGAGAGGAGAGGGGGGGGGGGGGCAAGAAGTGAACACAAAGTACACAGAAAAACATTGTCAATACTGAGTATATGACTTGCCAGTGAGTGAGCTGCGCAGATCAAATGCAGACTAGACATGTGCCATCCCCAACATGACAACAGCAGCAGCAGCAGCAAGAACGACAACAAACACACAGACACAACACACACATACACACACACACACACACACACACACACACACACACACACACACACGCGCCTGCACGCCTATACACAGAGCACAGACATGCATACACATAACCACTTACCGTGCAGACATTGTCGTCACTAGGAATCTCATGTACATAGAGGATATCCAGGAAGAAATACGGCGAGGAGAGCAAGCTGTCGTAAGACTGCAACAAAGAATAGCAGAAAGTCAAAGACAAGCTAAGCTATGTGGCACTGTGGCCTCATAATCAGGCCTCATGTCTTCGTCAGGGGTGTAACACTGAAGCAGCCGATCCGGATGTTCTGGCATTGGCATGAGCACATGTCAGGCAAGTTGGTATTGACTATTGACTGTTGAGACACACATACAAGTGTGGATATTGTTGATACTGTGACTGCAATGCTACCAACTAGAGTATATGTGCTGCATCAGTTCTCAACAGTGTGCACTATGCACCCTGCTTGTGCTCTGCATGTCCCATGCTGCCCGATTGAAATCCAATCAAGCGAGTCGGGTCTGCGCCTTGCACCAGTGAACAGCCCAGTGTTCGCAGGTCTAGGGCTGCACAGCGCCCGCCACATACTTGACACACTCAATGGGATTTCATCAAGCAGCACAGTGACTGTAGTTCAACTAGAACCCACCGCACACGGTTTCTCCAGTGTTGGTACGCTGTGCGAACGGCCATACACCATGATAGCACGCACTATGTAAGCTGGTGCAACATCAGCACCAGCTGCCTTGGGTAGTTTGATCTTGGAGTGCCTGCACGAATATACATGCACACGCACACGCGCACACACACGTACACACACACGTACACACATGCACACAAATCCACACGAACACAAGCGCGCACCCACCCACACCCCCACACACGTACACACACATACACACATACACACACGCGTACATACACACACGCGTACATGCACACACATACACACACGTGTACATACACACACGCGTACACACACACACACATACACACACATATACACACACATACACACACACATGTCCAGTTGTACTACTGTGAACCTTGTCTTGAGCAATCTCTCCGTGGCATGGTGGCCAGAATAAAAGCAGTATCCGACAAGTGGCCACTCCTGTTTGACAAATGCCTGAAAAATTGAGTTGGAAATGGTCAACGTCGGAGATGAAAGTGGGAATAGTGAGTCTTATGACAGAACACAGATCTTCCTCTGAATCCAATCAGGAGACACACATAACTACATCACTACATCAACGAGGTATGAAGTCCTGTGAAAATCATGCACAATACAAGATCAAGGTTGGAGGCTAACACAGCACAACTGCCCAAGCCAAAGTGATAAAACAGGACTCACAAGCAATCAAAGATGACTGAGAGATCAATCTCTGCAAGAACACACACGCACACACGCACACACACGCACACGCGCGCGCGCACACACACACACACACACACCAATTCAACAAGAACATAAGACATCCATTAGCCAATATCCTATGAGACTTGCGTTCGAGATGGCCACAGCTACAGGCGATACAAGACTCAGGAATACAGTCAGACCTCGCTTAACCGCACACATCCGTTTCCCACAAAAATATCCGGATAGGCGAGGGAACCGCATAACTGAACACACATACTCTATATGCATGTGGCATATCAAAATGGGCGGCATCGTACATACATGAATACGGGTCCTGTGCAGAACAACTAGCGTGCACAATATGTAAAACAAGCGAGACAAATGACAAGTGCATGCAACTGAGTGCTATCCGCATGCATTCAGCAGGTCAAGGACCTCATTTGTTTGTACAACTCCCTGATTCTAGCTTCTGCAAGCCACATGCAACCGGATACGATGAAGCTTTTTGTACATATTTTGACCAGTTTGTACACAAAATCATGCACCGGTATGCGGATCGCGAGATCCGGTTATGTTGTATGCGTAACGTGTGCTGCACATCGGTAACCAATGATTTTCTTCCAGATGGCAAGGGATCCAGATAAACAAGGACCGGATAAGCGAGGTCTGACTGTACAGGGCTTTGTTATTGCCTGAGCCAGTCCCAACTCTCATCAACTACTTCAAGTACTTCGAAGTATGTGTCTTTGCAGTATCAGCCAGTCCCGACTCTCATCAACTATGTGTCTTTGCAGTATCAGCCAGTCCCGACTTTCATCAACTATGTGTCTTTGCAGTATCAGCCAGTCCCGACTCTCATCAACTATGTGTCTTTGCAGTATAAGCCAGTCCCGACTCTCATCAACTATGTGTCTTTGCAGTATAAGCCAGTCCCGACTCTCATCAACTATGTGTCTTTGCAGTATCAGCCAGTCCCGACTCTCATCAACTATGTGTCTTTGCAGTATAAGCCAGTCCCGACTCTCATCAACTATGTGTCTTTGCAGTATAAGCCAGTCCCGACTCTCATCAACTATGTGTCTTTGCAGTATCAGCCAGTCCTGACTCTCATCAACTATGTGTCTTTGCAGTATAAGCCAGTCCCGACTCTCATTAACTATGTGTCTTTGCAGTATAAGCCAGTCCCGACTCTCATCAACTATGTGTCTTTGCAGTACATGGACATGTACATGGATTGGCAATGTCGACTGGTGCAACATGGTAAATTAATTTACTCCCTGAATTTGTACCCTGAGCAATCCACTATACAAATAGTAGATGGACTCCCCGGGAAGAGTACTACTTGCATAGCTGTACATACTTGCCTACAAATTAAAGAACAGCTGTACCATTGCAATATAGTTGCTGCACAGCTGAGCTTTATATTGTCATGGCAACCCCTCAAATATGAACGAACACATACAGCCTATTTGCAAGAGCACGAGATAGCTAGTTACCAGCAGGGGTTGAGTCGATGGGGAAATAGTGGTTGAGCTGCGTTATTAAGTCATCGGGCTTAGACTGAAAATCCACCAGCTGCAGCACGCAAAGACGGAGCAACGAAATTAACAAAACAGTCAACTGGCTGAGCTTGCTTGTGAATGTGCCTGCACAACCGCACATATCTGCTGCGTAGCAGACTGGATTCCACGGAGGAAGCCACCAGCAAAGCAGCTGCGGCCATGTTATTCAAGACCGATAACGCCACGATCATGGAATACATACAAATGCTAGCAGCGTTAAAACTTAAAATACCCGATCAATGTGAGAGCATGAGGCTCTGAGTGCAACATAATTTTCCTGTGTGACTAAGCTCTGCCTTGATGCATAGAGGGTGGTGGCGTGCCTACGGATGCGGAAAACTCGGCCTCCAGCCGAGTCTCACGCAAACCATGGATTTTATTTTACTTGTTTTTAAAGCTCTGCCTTGGCGCATAGAGCACTCTGCAAGCAGTGCACCACTCAGCTTCCTTACAAATAAAATGTGCAAGGCAAGCTGCTACTGCTGTTGCTGGAATGCCAATGAGATCATTACTTGTACTTTGAAGTATTATACATCTGTAGAGGTGGAGTAGGTAGCTTGATCAACAAAACACAATAATTATTATGCCACTTGCATACACACATACACTTCTGTTGACACGGACCAAACTACAGCACACATTGTATAAGTGAGTGACCTACAGTCCATTTCAAAACTATAGACGCATAGGGTTTTTGAAATATTTCAAATTTGGCTAGAACTTTTTGAGAATAGTTTTCGGAATATTGCTCAGGTCCGCTCCACAATTACTCTCATATAGTTTCTAAACGATTTGGAAAAAATTATCCACAAAGTGATCACAGATTTTATGTGGTATAGATGCTGGCATAACGTTTTTTGCCTAGGTACGCGTCTATAGTTTTGAAATGGACTGTAACTTACCCATTCTGCTCGCTCACGAAACACCATCAGCGCAAACTCGTGCTTCGCGTTGATCGAGTGTTTATTGTGCAGAAAGTTCTCAATGGCTCTCTTTGTAAGGTGGATGATTGTGCGCTTTCTGTAGAGACGGCAATCATGACAACATAATGCAAGACATGCCGTTGGGTTTAAAGCACATAGCACTGAGCAGTCAATGCTGGTCTCTAGTCACAACAACAACAACAACAACAACAACAACAACAACAACAACAACAACAACAACAACAACAACAACAACAACAACAACAACAACAACAACAACAACAACAACAACAACAACATCAACATCTCTTTTTGACCACAGGCTTATGCTAAAAGTCCTTGCAGAACTCTACATGTTCTGATATCTATGGATTAAAACAGCACTAAGACCAACACACCTATCAAAACGAGGAATTTATTGCACCAAGTACACACAACATACAGGATATCACACGCCAAAACAAAACAGCACTTACTCCAGGCTTCGGAAATGCTTTGAGTTCATTTCCGGGGACAAATCCAGAATGATGACCTTCAGGGCAGTGAAAGGAGCAAGCATGTGCATACGCAGACACACAGGCCAAACGACCAGTCATGGAGAAATACAAGCGAACCGAGAGAAAACTGCATGCAATGACCCATGACGACTACACAAGGAATAAACTCCTCCAACCAGTATCACTCCTGTTCTGCATATACTGTAGCACATATTAGCAATCCAGCTAAACAGCGAACCAGCCCTGATGGCAATCCATCCTTCCTGGCAATCTAGCCAGAATCATTATAATGACAATCCAGTCATAGTGATAATCTAAAAGGCGGTAATTTCGCGTAACAGAAACCTCCACCAGTAGTATCATATGGATGTATTAGGTGCTGCTGTAGTTTTGGAGTTGTACTACAAGTTACATCACATATAGAGTGTTAATCACACACTTCTGGGCTGGCATTTGTATTGTATTTTCATCCATTGTGTTTCTTTTGCCCGTAAAAGAGGGAGGCTGGAATCATACTGTGGCGGTGTGAGTGGAAATGTAGTACAATCATGTACATGTATAGCAGGTGATATTCTTCATGCTACATACTGCAGCAGCTGTGCTAGGTGATATAGAAGCCAAAGTACAAAGCTTGCACCCTGGACCAGTTCCGATTATATCACTGTACTCTTACATACTTGGAAGTATGCACGTCCAGCAGTATTCGCACCACTTCCAGGGTGTCAAAATGGCTGTGCAAGTTCAGGGTGCCAAATAGGCACTTTGGACCGGGGCTCAGCTAGCACCACGGGATGTGCTATCCAACATCACACGCTTGCCACGTAAGCACACAGCATGGATCATCACATATACCAAGTTCACAACACAACTGCTAGACTTAGAAAGCAATACTGGGATGCTTACTGTGCAGGATCAGGAAAAGGAGTACAGTCAGACCTCGCTTATCCGGTCCTCTTTTATCCGGATCCCTCGCCATCCGGAAGAAAATCGTGGGTTACCGATTTCCAGCATATGTCATGCATACATACATTATGTGTGTTCGATTATCCGGCTCCCTTGCCTATCTGGATTTTTTGTTGAAAACTGATGTGTGCGATTAAGCGAGGTCTGATTGTACATGTATTTGCATGAAAGCACAGGCTAGGTCCAGGGACAACAACTCACAATTTTCTCAACACAGTCGATTCCTGGCACTCGAAGCGCAACCGGATGCTCCCTTGTGTTGCCAGTCGCTGGATACCAGCACAGCAAGGCGAGGAAATACACACATGCACACACGCACGCGTGCATGCGCACACACAGGCACATGGACACGCACACACACGCACGCACGCACGCACGCACACACACACACACACACACACACAAAACAGCAGAGTTGATCTTAGAACGGAACGCAGACTGGTGTCTTCTTAAATTGTGGGGTTTTCAAAGCCTGGTAGCCGTTCTTCAGCTGGGCATTCTCCGGCATGCGACTACAACTGGATATTGAAATTGGAGTACCGACTCCTCAGGTATAAGCCGCTCTGCCACTGGCCTGCAGGCATATATGTACAGTAAAAGCGCTGGTTTTAGCGACCACCTGCTCTTAACGACCATTTTTCCATGCAAGGACAGCTCTACACTGAAACTGTTGGACCTGGTTCTAAAGACCAACTGGCTTTAACGACCGCTTTTGCTTGCACCGTGGGGTGGTCGCTTAAACCAGGTTTTACTGTATAGTATATCTTCTGCAGTACAGTACAGTCGGGCGCCGAAGAACGGAGCGCCGAAGAACGGCCAGGCTAGAATTTCACCAAGCACAGCATACCAATATACACACGGTGACTCAACTGCCCATAGACTGAAATACATGAAAATAAGAACGGTCTAGGCTAGGAGGCTGACCCCCCAGTTCTTCGGCGACCGACGGTACTGTACTGTATTCTAGGGCTGAAACGATCATTCAATAACTCTTAACGATCAACCAATATCATTAACGATCGATATATTGGTTTTATCGATTCTTGTCGGCTCTACCCGTGTACCTCGAACACCAGTTTATGAAAAAATTCCACGATACTTTTGCTACGTTAGAAATTTGTGGCACCGCACTGTTGACATCTGTAGACATCTGGCTGGTTTATCAACATGACCTAGAGGATTTCATGTTGTTTCTAGAGGGAAGAATCTTGTGATCACCCTCTGGCAACTGCTCTTATCTCTGACCTTTCCAGCAAATGAACTGAAAAGACAAAGAGTGCTCTCTTCCGATCTCTTTCAAAGCCACAAATCAATTTTACTGCGCTTGAAAGTACATGATTGTACTCGTATTCACTATCGGATGGAGTGCAAGGGCTGGAATACTGTCACTCATATACATGCATAAAAAATTGTTAGCACTCGTTTTGAACATTAACGATTATCGATTGCACTCTTAACGATCGATATGCGAGTTATCGGTATAATTGTTTCAGCCCTACTGTATTCCGTTGCATGTAGAGACTATAGGTACAATTTGAATAACACTTGTATTTGCAGCTCACGTGATTCATGGACTCTCTCACATACAACAGGGAGAGAGGAAAATTGGTTACGGCTTAGTTGTAGAGCTTCATGCTCTAAGCGACCATTGGGTAACCACCTCACGGCGTTGAGCACTTTTCAGTCGACGGGGCTGCCTCTGCTTGTTAATTCTCATTCAAAAGGTCAAAATACAGCACATATATTGCAGGGCCATAGCACCCGGTCCGACCAGACTTTATTTCGAGAAAGTTGACCCACCCAATTCGTGCAAAACCGGGGTTTTCGTCAAAAGTAGGGGTGAAAGTTGGCACTGAGATCCCGAGTTCGAGTACTCTGATTTTCTCCGATCGAATATTCGAGTATTCTTCATCCCCTAAAAATTGCACACCAGGGGCCTTAGAATCACATGATACAACCCTGATTGAACCGAGTAGCAGTCATTTTTCTCGGGTATATCGGTTCGTGGGTCATTTGGGCTCTCTCTACTCGCGAAAAAATGTTCACCACACAGTCTGCACCTCAATATCTGCCGACTGCTGCTCTGAAACTGCAGATTTCTGTGATAAATGCATGCACCATGTATGAACGAGTACTCTGATTTATTCCGAGTACGATTATTTTTGAAAAAACCGAGCGAGTACTCGAGTACTCGGTATAATTGTTTCACCCCTAGTCAAAAGTGTACCGTAGTGTCACGTATAAAAGCATGACCTGTATACAAGCATGACCTGTATAGAAGCATGACCTGTATACAAGCATGACTTGAATAGAAGCTGATTTTTAGAAGCGTGCTGTGACACAGAAGCACAATTTGGAAGCCGCTCTGTGCAAAGACACATGCACGTACTTGCACAGTACGCACTGCAGTGTACATGTGCACTGGTGATGTTGACGCAGAAGCCTGTTTTGAATAGAAGCATAACTTGAATAGAAGCATGGTTTGAACCCCGGCTTATACGGCCGTAAGCACCTGCTTTTATACGCCACATTACGGTATGTTCACTTCCGGTGAAGTTTCCTATAGTATTTGGCCGGACCACCTGAAATCCCGGTGCTATGGCCCTGTTTGTGTGTATGGATAGTTATCCAATGCCTGGCATGGACAACTTGAACAAGTGGCAAAGAATGATATAGTATAGCATCAGCCTATGGGGATTTCCCCAGTGATATGCTCAACAATAATTTAAAAGAACAACATATTTGAAAACGTACGACTGGCTCCATCATCCATTTTCTCATTGCTCGTTGCAGACATTGTAGACAGGAAATCCCAGTGGAAGGGAAAGAACAGACCTTGAGTAAACTATCACACCGTCAAAATAAAATACTCGATTACAGCAAGTGAGCGACCCTCGCGCTTGCTTCTTCTCTAATCTCGATACCGGTGCAGAGAAATGCAAGAGTCCACAGTCCATAAACTGTTTATGCACTTTTGATCTTGGCACGCGTGCCCTGAAAATAACTTTTCAAAAAATCAAATCTTCTCCAATGATTTTGATCTGATGCATGCATTATATTTGCGATGATCAATTATTTCCATGCCCATTCATTTTGCCATGAGTTATGATCCATGATCAGTATTGTCGTATTGACGATTGTAAAATACGTAGTTACAAAGTAGTTACAATAGTAGTGAGTTGTTGAGAAGCACCATGGATCTGTCGTTATCAGAAGATCGTGCTGTGGAAGATGTTCGATGCGAGTTTGGAAAAATGAAGAACGCCATGGAATGCGAGCAGGAGATTCGATCTGTAAGATGTACTTCTTGTCAAGTACTTGTAGCTCTCATCCTATTTTTACAAACTATTCAGCTATTCATGAGATCCTAGTACCAAGAGTACATAACCACATGTACTACAAAATAAAAATAGCAATACATGTACTCAGATGGAGAGCCAAGGATAAATTTATAGAAAAGAAAAGGACCAAGGAACTACATGTACATAGATTGTTCAGTAATTGGTTGGTGTTAGTGGACATTATAGCGTAACTTGTAGTTCCTTGGTCCCTTTCTTTTCTAGCAATACATGTCTATGACTTATGAGGGGACTGACTTCTTTGTGGAATGCACTGAGTTCATGCAAAGCGTGACCGTGTGGTGGCTGGTGGTAGTAGTGATTGCATGCAGGATACAAGGGTAAGAGTTGGAGGACGTTAGAGTGGGTGGCCGGAAACGTAGAGCAGTGCTGCCAAACTTCCGCATTTTCTGTAGTTGTACGTACGGAAAATCATTCCTTCATCCGCGCTACGTAAATTGAGCAAATATAATAATAATAATAGGGAGGTTTCGCTCTACGGAATTACGTATGAAAATAACGTAGGAACTGTACGGAATTTTCATACGTAAAAAATAAGAGCTGCTGGGTTTCGCTCTACGTGATTTATCCACGACTGCTTAACACGCGTTGTTGCTTTGGAGACACGTTGGCTGCATGCGCCCACCGCATGCACCATGAACCAAAACCGCGTTTTCCATCTTATTTTGCACGTGGTGTACGGTGTGTGTACCTTGTGTTTCGCGCGGCTTGAACGTTGCCATGGACAAATGCGGAAAATGCGAAAAATATTTCAAAAAGTCCTACGGAGGACCCAACGTAGGAAAGAGCTTTCCTACGGAAATCCGTAGAGAGATTTACATATGAAAGCTGCCCTCGCTCCCCGGCGCGTACGACATACGAATTTTCATACGTAATTACGTAGAGCGAAACCTCCCTAATTTGAGCAAAATTATACGGAAAATCGAAAAAGAGCGGTCGTTGCAAGTAGAAGCATGGCAAGGGCAAGTTGAGCGATGAATCAGTATTCTTGCTGTACCAAAGTGTGTATGCCGTGCTATGGCTACATGTAGCATGAAACATCATGTGGTGAGTACAATCTACAGATCACACATAATTTGTATGTACTAACAAACCCGCAGCCTAGCCACCGGTGTGTGTGTGTGTGTGTGTGTGTGTGTGTGTGTGTGTGTGTGTGTGTGTGTGTGTGTGTGTGTGTGTGTGTGTCAGACAAGCACAGACTCTGTATACGGTAGTACATACATGTGGTAATTGGCAGTACGCAAACACACTGCGAAATGCGCAAAATCAGAAGTCTGAGTGCGCAATTGAGACCCAGTTGGTTGACAGCTCAGGTAGAGACACACAGGTGCCTTCGGTCTCGAATTAGTGCCTCAATGATGTAGAACGCTTGAAGAGAAAGAAGGAGAGAGAGAGAGAGAGTGTGTGTGTGTGTGTGTGTGTGTGTGTGTGTGTGTGTGTGTATGTGTGTGTATGTGTGTGTGTGTGTGTGTGTGTGTGTGTGTGTGTGTGTGTGTGTGTGTGTGTGTGTGTGTGTGTGTGTGTGTGTTGTGTAGGCCAGGAGTGAGCTGTGGTGGTGTGGTTTAAAGAAGGGAAGCCTAAGGCAGAGTTTTGCTGACTATCGCTGGAGACTTTCTGGAATGCTCTAAGTGTTGTATGGTCAGGGCAGGTTATAATGAGGTCCATTGTGCACACAGGGAACTGTAGCAGGCTGTGCACAGGTCCATTGTGTACATAGGGAACAGCTGTAGCAGTTACAGGCCAAGCGTTGATCACCGAGGGACACCCGCAGAGATGCCAAGCCAGTAAGATTTTAGTTTGTACGACTGCTCGCACTTGCCGTCTGTGGTCCTGCAGGTATCTTCCCAACCATGAGATTCCTTTTGTTGTTGTTCTTGTTGTGTTGTCTTTGTTCTCAAGGCTATCAGACCAATTCTCAAAGATCTGACCAACCACACGAAAGAGGCTGTAGCAATACTCCGAGCTGTCCACCAATCGTCACGCAATAGTGAGTTAGAACTTTATAGAGGTCTGTATAGTCTTCTATGGAAGATTGTCCCATTTTTCATTCTTCAGTAGAAAGATATTTTTCCTCTGCAAGAGCAACTCTCTCTCTCTCTCTCTCTCTCTCTCTCTCTCTCTCTTTCTGTCTCTCTCTCTCTCTCTCTCTCTCTCTCTCTCTCTCTCTCTCTCTCTCTCTCTCTCTCTCTCTCTCTCTCTCTCTCTCTCTCTCTCTCTCTCTCTCTCTCTCTCTCTCTCTTTCTCTCGGATACAGACGTTGGTCACCAAAGCCATTCCGTGCCTTTCTCTTGGACAGAAGGAGTGTTTTAGTGACGGGTTTTTTTGTGTTGTGTGCGTGCTGTGACCCACAGTTAAAGGGGAAGTCCGGTGAAAAATTTAAATTTCAGGGTTGGTAGAGTTTCGGGCGCTGAGTCGAATGGTGTTGGTCCCACGTGTCTCCGACAAAGCGTTCTCGAGATATTTCCGTTTGAAAAACTGAGTTTCGGGGGCTGCGCCATGACGTCATGCGGCCGCGCCACACCCTCTGCAACGTCATAGCGTGCAGCTAGGTCAAAAGGAGTGCGTGAAAGCAATAGTGTCAGTGCTATTTCAAATGATTTGGCGACTGATATTATTATTAGGTGGTGCAAGCGACCCCGAAGACCTGTAACTCCTTGTGAGAGTGAGGATGCAGCCATGGCTGACCTTCATGAGTTCGGTCTCTGGGGCTGAGAACCTCGGTATTCAGCTGAAGAAATGGCCGCGCGGGCCCGTCAAGAGTGAGTGTTACTGAGTTTCCGACTGATGAAGAAGAAGCAGCAGCTATTGCAGACGAGGCTGATGAATTATCAGATTGTTGTTGTTGTTTTTTATTTGAATTCGCAATACCAAACGGGCAATAAGCCCAATTACATGGAAGCGAATAAAAGAATGCTAAGAATGAGGCATTGGGGTGGATGTTATTTCAAGTGGAAAATACTGATCCCGGGAGGTACTACAAATAGGTACAATGAAAATCTGAAAAGGCCATGGTACTGTCGTTTACCATGCTGGAAGCAGCTACATGGAGAAGGAAAAACAACAAGAAAGACGTTATATCTCATGTATTGGACAAACAGAGCTAACAGGAAAAGACCGTTCGTTATATGCCTATACATATCGCTGGAGAGCAGGGTCGCCAAAATGGAGAAGAGTGATGCGAGTGCTCTAAGTGTTGTTCCATACCGATTAGATTCGCTTAGACTCCAGTGGCCTGCCACATGGTGATGTTTTGGTGCGAACTTGGAATATTTCGGACTACTCATTTGGAGAACAGTGCAGGCTCTTTGAACCACGGGCACGACTCTTCGCTCGCAACGCTATGGAATCTGACAGTTCTAGGTCCGGGAGCTGTTCCCTGTTTTGCCACTTGTCACGGTTGTGCACTCATCGCTGTAGCATAAATAATGAGGCGGGAGCGGAAAACTAAAATTTTCTTTCTCAAAGCACAATCACCGGCACTGGCAAGGAGAAACGCACGTTCTCTGACTACATGACTGTACAATACGACTGATACGAGTGTAGTACATGACAAGTCTGTGTGTTGACTAGTTTTCTGAGTCTTGTGTCAGTTGTGACTCGAGTCTTGTTGTAGATACTACCCCAGCACGGCAGTGCGGGAGTAGTTCCGTCTGTGATGAGTTTGTTGACTGCACCACAGCTAGATAACACACTGCACGCACTGCATGCACGCAGCGCACAGCGCGTAGAGGCTGACGGAAAAAGTCCAACTCGGAAACGGCTAAAATACGGTATAACCTCGAGGTTTACCGAGCTGAAAATCACAGGGTATGTAGTGTTTGTAACACTGAATCGAATGGTCTTGGTCCGAAGAAGCTGCGACAAACAGTTCCCCAATCGAACGCGCTCCGAATATGGCCATTTTTGTACACAACTAGATGGTGTGGCTACCCGGCTGCACGCTGTGACGTCATCACCTGGATCTGGGTGATGCGCGCTCAAATTCGCACATGTTCGATTGGGCGTATCTGACGAACCATAAGCCGCAGCCTCCTCGGACAAATACCATTCGACTCAGCGACTCGAACTCTACGGACTGTGAAATTTAAATTTTTCACCGGACTTCCCCTTTAAAAAGGAGGCTGGGGATAGTTTGGGCAAAATGTCGTCAATGTATTATTCTCTTCAAATTCTGTGGATATGTAAAGTACTTCTGTGAAATATAAAATAGGATCCCCAGGGTTTTTACTCCTGTTCCAGTTGTATAGACGTTGCAAATAGTGCTATTTTGCCCGAAATTCCAATGGTTGAACCTCAATATCACAAGGAACGGATATGGGACCCCCATATCTTAATGCAGATTCAGAATCAGCATGATTTTTTCTGTTGATCCACTGAAACTGAGCAAATTATTACGATGAAATTTTGGTGAAAGGTAACCACAAATAGGGACGTTTAGCAACGCGAAAGCTCGAAAGAAAAATTCGAGTCTGGGAATGAGTACAGAAACAAAGCTCGAAACTTAGAAAACTTGGACGCGAAGTTGCAGTGATTTGCAAAAGTGACTTTCTCTTTCCCCAGTATGCACTTGCCAGCAGGGAGTAGTAAATTTACAGCCCCTGCGTGAGACTGAGCTGCTTATATGGAGCAACCAAGGACAGCTGTAATTTGTCTCTTGTCATCAAGACCTGTCAGGGGAACTTGCTTCGAACCACACGAAGCCATGGACCAGGAGGAAGCTAGAACGATAGCAATTGCTGTTTCGTCAAAGTTGATGACCATTTCTGGAGGGATGTTGTTTTGCTCCATGATGTTCCGGATCATGCCAGTGAAGTGATCACGGAGTTCTCCAATGTTGTCCGGAACTTTCAGAGCCGATTTGGTTCCCTTGCGCTTGGTAAAGTTCATGCGCTTGAGTAGCGACTTGCCCCAAGCTCTGCTCGAGAATCCAAGCCAGCCACCGTTGGTTTCCAGCACTTGCGGCGCTGTTTGTTGCGCCACGCCAATTGCAATGGCCAGCACAATGGTTGTGTTCACCACACCACCAGACTTCCGAATGGCCCGGACATACGATTGTACTCTTGAGTCGGCGAGGTTTGGGAGCATCAGTGGTCTTCCGCGATCGCTCTTTGTAAAATTCTCACCTCTTGAAACGGACGCAAGGTGTTGCTTGTACTTTTCGTGATGGACGCTACAGTACTTGGTGCCACGGCTCGTCCCAATTCTTTAGAGAAATAGCGACTAGCACTGCACTGCCCATGCTTTGAGATCTTCGTCCGAAGTTCATCGTCGTTTTTGAAGTAAGAGCCGCGACGTTTACCGATTGGCTTGCTATCAGCATTTTCAATCACCACAGCATCGATTTGGGTGGCCGCAGAGCATTCCACATCGTCCGTTGATTCCGGCAGTAGCGGTGTCTTCGGAGCAGGTCGAGGCCGATTTCCAGTGCTACAGAGGAAGCACTGGAGCATGAAACTGATAACGCAATGAAGATAAGTTCGCACAACCGCACAAGGACCTATTGCAAATGAACCATAGTGGCGCCAGTATTGTATTCTGGAAACAATGAAGACTACAGATAATTAGTGTTGGTCTAGCTACTCTCCAGTGTGTAGTGGCGCCATGTAAGGATCATGAAAGAATAATTGTAAATGTAGGAAGTGCTGTATGCTTCTGATCATCCTCACCTTCCTTGATTAACCTGCCGTTAATCAACATCTACGCTGCTACTATGATAATGAACATACAAGTTATTGCAACAAGCAATGTGCTAGAACGTAATATAATAGTATTATTACATTCTAGCACATTGCATAATCTACTAGCACTCAGCAAAACTTATGCATTACAGTCACTCTTCCTCTACAGTCGGGCAAACTCTTGTGATAGGTCGGGTGAAGACTTTGGAGCCCACTCGGACACGCACAACTCTTACTTCATTCTCTTACTCTTACTCTTAGTACATTGCCATCCGGTCCTGACATGACCTCCACAATGCGACTGATGGGCCATTGGCCGCTTGGCATGTCTGAAGCGACAACAATGACTACGTCACCAACCTTCTTATTCTTCTGCTGCTTCCGCCACTGCTGTCTCCTGCTTTCTCGTTGATATGCTCGCGCAGGCGTTTCCATCGATTGGTAACGCCTCGCTTTGCAACCGCCTTCTCACTACACAGTTGTCATGTCAAATCGTCATTGGTGGGTACACCACCCAAGTCCATTTTTTGTGACTCCATTGCTTGACAAGTGCTGATGCTGTCCAAACCCATAGCTGAAAATGTAGTCACTGTTGACTACGAAACAAAAAAGGTCTAGGATCTACTCGCGAACCTTCCTCTGCTACC